CGCAGCCCTTTCGAATAACAGGGGAGAATCGGCAACGGCTCGTCCAGAACCGGGGGGATAATGCAACTCTCGCGCGACGGAGCGAGGTCAGTCCATGTCTGGACAGCCTGAATAATCGGCTGTGCGGTACGATGGTCCAGCCGATGCTGCTGCTTGAGATGGGTTTCGACTTCGGCCGGCCAGACCCCATGATGGCACTGGCGGCAGATCATGACCTTTAACGGGGGGACTTTCTGAAATAACTGGTCGGCCATGGTCGTGGTGTAATCGGTATGAGGTTGTAGAATCCTGACAAAGCGGATTGGGAGGAAGAAGCAGCTATGTGAGAGGTATGCTTGAGATATAGGAAGAGCGATTGTGCCGCCTGGGGGAGGCACGTTGGAAAAGGGGCCTTGTCTTAGCCCGTAGAGAGATATAGAGACGTATATCACCATCTATTATAATTGATCGATCACCGCGACCGCCGCGCGCCAGCCAGCCGTACCCCATCAAAAAAATCCGCCCGTGCCAACCCGCCCACTTTGACCAGACCGAACAGCGGCATTTCACGCAATCAAGAGCGTCCGACGCAACGGGAGAGGACGAAAATGGCGGCCGAACAAACAGGCGAGGTTTCGGCGCGCGGCGGGCCCGGACAGCCGATATGCACCACACTCGGACCCGAAAAAACGCACCCTTCTCGGGACCCCAAACCCTAGCCCCCTACCAAGCCGCCCAACCCGAAACGCACCCGACCAACCGCCCCGGGGGGCTGCTGGGGTAGAACACGGCATACACGAAGACGATATCTGGAACTTCGACGAGACTGGCTTTGCAATAGGGGTCTGCTCTAGTTCAAAAGTAATTACTGCAGTTGATCGAAGCGAGCGGCCACGCAGAGTCATCCAGGGCAACCGTGAATGGGTTACAGCCATCGAGACAATCGGGTCAAAAGGCGTACATCTACCGCCAGGCATTATATTGAAAGCAAGCATCCAACAGGCTGCCTGGTTCTAAGAACCTAAGCTGCCTCGCGACTGGTGGATTTCTACTAGTCAGAATGGCTGGACGACTGATGAAATAGGCCTTCTCTGGCTGAAAAATGTCTTTGAACCGCTTTCTAAGCGCTATATGACTGGTGCAAAGCGCTTGCTTATTCTTGACGGCCATAGCAGCCATTTGACTGCTGAATTCGATGACTTCTGCAAGCAGAATGCAATAATATGTCTCTGCATGCCTGCCCATGCTTCGCATCTTCTTCAACCGCTTGATGTGGGCGTCTCTAGTCCGCTTAAAAAGGCGTACGGAAAGCTCCTTGAAGACCGTATGGCTGCTGGCAACAACTCTATTGATAAAGAAGACTTCCTATCGCTATATCCGGATGCCCACAAGCAAGTCTTTACTTCGGCCAATATCTGCAGCGGCTTTAGAGGAGCAGGGCTTAAGCCGCTTAATCCAGAGCATGTTCTTTTAAAGCTTACCTTTCGACTTCGTACGCCTACACCTGCACCATCACTAGCTAAAAGCTCAAATTCCTCTGTTTTTCAGACTCCGCAGAATACTCGCCAGCTAGATCGAAAGGTTCGAAGCCTGCAGAATAGCCTTAATAGAAAGCGGCAGCTTTCTAGCAGTCCTATTGCTCATATTCAACATCTTGAGAAAGCGGCGCAAATGGCAATGCAAACCCAGCTGCTTTTAGAGCAAGAAATTAGGGCTATACGCGCTGAAAATGGACGACAACGTCAAAAAAAAAGGCAAGAAAGCGTGCTGAAATAGGAAAAGACCGCCTTCTTAATGTACAGGAAGGTGAAAATCGCGTTCGGCAGCTTGACACGCAGCTTAATGAGCAGCCTTCGGAATCTACTCCAGCGCCTCGTCGACGAGCTCCGCAACGCTGTAGTGGCTGTGGGACAGTTAGACATACAATTCGAAATTGCCCTAGTAAATAGCTATTATTTCATATATTTAGTTAGTCAATTTTAATGGCGTTGGTGGTTGAATTACCTCGAAGATATTGAATGCCCTGGAAACCTGCCGGTTCGGTGGTAGTGCCGGCTCGATGGTTGATTACGTTAAGAGACGGTGCTTAAGTAAGTAAATCGATAACAGATCAGGTTGGTATGCTCGGTAGGGCAGTCACCTGCTTGGCCAATATCGGGCGAGAGGGTCCAATAGGAACCGACTGCACTACAGAGCAGGAAGAGACTGTGGAGTAGACAACTACTAGAGTGAAGATCCGCCACAGGGAAGAGACAAACTCGATCTCTCAAGTCTGAGTAAAGACGGACTCCAGATTAGGAACTCACTACAAGGTAGGGACTAACCGGGTAGAGGAACCATCTGCAGGGGAGAAATACACTACAGTATTCACAGCTGTGGAACAGATTAGAGGGCAGGAATCGACTACTGTATGCATGGACAGTAGGAACACTTGCAAAACAAAGTCTGAAAACAGATCAGATTAGGGATTGGCTAAGTGTTAGAGATGGAGAAGTCCGAATAGAGTGGATTAGGAGAATGGTTGAGGCATCCGCATTTGGGTCTCTGCTTCCAGGGGTGCTTACAGACCATTTTGGAGCCTGCTTCATCTCTATTCATGTGGCAATCTGGCTTCTGGTAAATATGGCATAGCATGGCCACATTGCATTTCATGATTGAGGTCTGAGAGTCACGTTTGCATATCTAAAATTCATCGGAGTTATCGGTGTTTTGGTATTCATCCAGTTATAAGGGAAACGTAGTCAAGTAAAAGGCCCGGGGGCTCGTCGCTTACGAGGAAATAAAAAAAAATCGAAAACTTGTCACCTTAACAGCCAGCGATGGATGCATGACATCACGCAAATATGGGGTTAAAAACCAATTGTGCCAAAGCAAACTTTTCATACAGTTAACAAGGGCTCTAGCATTTAGCTCCTAGGCAGAAATTGGCGGGCGGCGAGTCAAGTGTGTTGACTCACTCGCTAGTATTGGTTGGAAGTAAGACATGACTCATTGTTCTAATACCGCGAGTATTACATAGAACTGCATAGAAATTCATCGAAGTCGCCAACAAAGCAGGTTTCCTAAATGCCTCGCTTCACGCAGCTGTGTCCATTACTATCACTACACCTTGCATCTGTCCAGCTCTCTCCCTCCAAGACTTCACCGCCTGTGTTGCATTCTAATGGACAAATATGGAAACTCATTTCTCAGACAATCCTTCAATATTACCCTGGGAGAATCACGCTGCCTCTTGGGATGAACAGATTGGTGACAATGGAAACGACTATTTCTCTGCGCTTGAACTACCGGTGCTAAAAAGGCTGATTTCTCCGGAGTCAGGGAACCGCGCCTTGGACCTAGCAACTGGCAACGGTCTCGTTGCTCGGTGGCTGGCCCATGAAGGCGCCTTGGTGGTTGCAACTGACGGCTCAAGGGCTATGATAGAACGAGCACGTGCCCGAACCCGTACTTGGTGCCGACAAGGACGATTGCCTGAGGACAGAGTCTTATTTCATGTTTTGGATGTGACAGATAAATCTTCTTGGGAACAATTCATTTCGAGTACTTGTCAAAAAGTCAGTCCATGCCTAACTATTTGAGAGTCCACCCCATTTGCGCGTCTTGGTCTTATTTGCAAAACAGGTGGATGGGTTCGACATAGTAACAATAAACATGGGCTTAATGGATATTCACGATCTCGAGCCTCTAGCACTATCAATAAAACAACTTTTACGGTCAGGTGGCTGGTAAGTGTTGTCTCATAACATACTGATATGATCTCACACATGGCTTAATTCTCTATTATTAGCTTCGTTGCCACCCTTCTTCATCCGCTCTTCTTCACTTCCGGCGCGGATCGCCAAATAGTAGTTCGTGAAGATGCCGTGACTGGGAAGCGTCATATAGATCAGTCCCTCATTCTGAGGCGCTATCTGAAAGTTCCACCGGCAAGACAATTGCTCTTCTCTGGGGATCTGGGATCTGAATCACCAGTATGGAAATTGCATTCGTTATCTTCAGTAAGAGATCATTCATTTACGTGAACTGTAAACTAGTTCTGCTTCCACCGCCCATTGCACGAGCTCTTGGCACCTTTTTTCCGTGCAGGATTGGTCGTTGACGCACTAGAAGAGGTGAACTTTGATGAAAGTTTCAGAGATCCCTTGCGCGATTATGCTGCGAGGAATTATTCACAGTTTCCCAAAATACTAGCTTTCAGGATGAGATCCGCTTCTCTGAATGAATGATCCTATTTCGCTTGGACAGAGCAAGATCGACTATTTAACTCGAGATTCGAACCGCCAATGGCTGAAGCCAGAAGCCAGTTGTAACAGGTGTCCAGCGGAATGGCAAGAGACAAGGACTGAACGCGACAGCAGCAACTCATATTTACACTACCGGGTTAATTGCGTCTGGGGATGTGGTCATCAAACATGGATGGACTCGGGAGAAGCTAAGACACGAAACTGATGCGCTATGTCTTGAAATGAAGGCTTTTGGATTAATGATAGACTTCCCTTATCTTGTCATTCGAGGGATCTGCGACCACGCTGATCCACACAAGAACAAGCAGTTGCAAGGATATACGGCATTGGCGGCAGCATCATATACGAAGAAACTACTGGGGTATATATCCCTTGACCATGTTGCTCGAGAGCGCTTGGTGGTGGATGTATGTAGTAAGTGAAGCCAATGGCTCATTGATATATGAGATTCGCTAGCAAAAGTCTTTAGGCAAGTTGAGAGAAGAACTCAAAGGCACCAATAAATGCTTCGAAAAAGCCTGTAGTCAACAAGAGATACATAAGAAAGCATCTTCTTCGTCACCGGCAAATTCCCATCGTCGTTTTCTGGAGACGCAGTTGGAAAGAGTTTCCGAGAGAGAATGTACATCAAAGAAGTGGCGTCGCAGGCCCGTTATATCGTCATACTCTTCACCTTGACAGCGCGGGTGGGGGCATGTGGCCTTTCCAGCTGCTTGGTACGATGTGCTCATCGATGTGGTTCAGTAAGGTTGCCCTCATCAGCCACTGCTTATAGCTTTCACTAGGCCTCTTCTCGTCGTCACCGAGACAAGAAAGTACAGAGTCCAGCCTTATGCTCTCGTTAGGCACCGTAGCGACAGCTTTTTCTACCCCTCCTCTTTGGAAGTCTTCATGCACAGCTGTCACATCGCACATGTGAAACTATACCAATCAGACGTCGTGCTTACCTGGGGGTGCTGTACTAAATGAGATACATGTGACGAGAGCCCGCAGCCAATCTCTCTTCTACTTATGGATTATTCTTTTCGAAGGAAATAGTGCAGCATAAGGAGATATATCTAAATTGCTAGATCACCCGCGGATTGTTAAGTCTGTCATCCTAGAGACGACCCAATAGGGCTATATGTCAAGAGGGACAAGCGGATATGGGCCTAAGCAGGCCCAAGCCTTACGTTAGCCAGACTCTGGTCTAAATGTAACCTCCTGCCTACACCAGATGCTTGTAAGTACTAATGACGTTGCGAGATATGGTCATGATCTTAGCTAAGGATGGCGGGGCAGGGTTTAAGTTGTCTGTTCGTGCTCGATTCGTGCTAGGCTAACTTTCGTCAGTGGGAACCATAGAGGGATAAATCTATGTACCCCGTAGACCTTTATAATTTAATGTTACTTCAGTATTATATTTAACAGCTTATAATCTCGATGGGGAGTCTCCCAGTTATCCCAGCTATTTCCTCTGCGGAAAACGTCGCTCTGCTATCCCTTCTTCATTCGGCTTCCAGTACAAGCTCCCTCCAAGTGCTCCCTACAGCGCCGTCATCAAATACTCCAGTAAACTTTGATTCAGCAAGGAATTACGAAGTGTCAGTCGATAAAGAGCGGAGCTTATGGAGGAGGATCCTAACCATATCCCGGCCGTCTGCGTCGAACAGGACACCGACAGGTTGAATGTACTTATCGCGATAAACAAAGCTAAATGGTGTGACGGGGATTCTATCCTTTATAGGTTAGAGGAGAGATTTAATATAATGTGTGCTATATTGCGAACTGTATTAGAAGGTAAGTGGCGCGGTTCTTATTGCTATTGTGCAAGGCTGATAACAAATTAGAAGATCTGTTAGTTGTTAAGGAAGCCTTGTTCGCGAATATAGTTGATATGTGTTTGTTGCGCATTCTCTATAGGCTAGATCTAAGTGCGAGTAGATAGTAGACTAAGAAATCGAAGAAATTAATGAAGGAGATCTTGCGTAACGTGATAAAGTGTGCTAAATAAGTCGCAGGGAAACCAGGCGCGAGTGAATTTCTTCAAGCTACTACGCTACTGTTTAGAGATAAAGCCAGAGAGCTTACGAGTCTAATAGATTTGTGGCAGGGTTATCAGACTGTCGCGCGTCTAGGTGATTTAGTTAGGGGCATAAACTAATTATACCAAGTGAACTAGCTCAGTAACCTGCTTAACGAGATCCCGGTACTTAAACTACAGAATAAGGCAAAAAAAAAAAAAGCTTCCTGAACGCTATTAAAAGTCTCCCGGTACGCCGAGGCTTCTAGAATACTTTAATAGATAGTAAAGAGGTTTCGCGTAGCTCGATATATGAAAGTAATTCCTGTCAAACTTTCTAAGGACGCCTTTTGTATCCTATCAAACGGCACATACGCTCCTGATATAGGATCTTCCGTTGCCCGAGTTGATTATCAATATTCTAACCGGAAGAAATTGGACCGGGTCTACTATTTTCTAGGCTATACTGAGGCGCAATCTGCATCCCTGTTCTTAGGAAAGGTATACAGGATATTATAAGAAGCTAAGTTCTATACGGATGTTTAGCTAGTTATCTATTGCGAAATATAAAGGCCGATATTGTCTCCCCGTGTCGCCTGCTCAAGCAAAGACGCCTGCTTTTTATGCAGCGCCTTTATTTGCCTGTACAAGCAAATGCATACGCCGAGATGCCATAGGAGATTGTACCCTGGTTGGCGACTGCCGTCCTTACCTTAGGTGAAAGAATTAGAGGAACTCTTAAACAGACACTTGAGATTTCTATTAAGGAAAGTCTATCTATGCTCCTTGCTAGATAACGAAAAACAATATACCCGCCTCTAAATAAAAGCACTATCCTCACTATTCCTATCTTAGAGATAACCAAATCTGGCTTGACGCGATTTGATTTAGGGCAGCTTTTGTGTGAAAGAAGCATTCAGCTATACTCCTAGACGACTTATAAGCTATACGAAGAGCCACGATCTCGGAACCCAAGCCATGCAAGCATTCTTTGTGGCGTAGCATGCGAAGGCAGCACAACAGATCCAGGATTATCGTCTATAGTCGAAGGGCAGGATCCAGACAGCAAGATAATTAGCAAGTAAGAGCTGTCGTAGGGCACTGTGTTGCATAACAGTATCGCCTGGCGGGAGCTCGGCATGTTATATCGCTGGCCCGATAAAACGTATGATAGAATACGCGACGGGGCTAGAAGGTATCAAATACAGTGTTAAATAGCTCACTGCGGAAGAGACGAAGGATTTGCCAAGTAGAGCTCAACCGCCTTTATCTGTAGATATAGGATCACTAGCAAGTAAAACGGCACGACCTTGCTATGTCCTTCTGCACAGGCTGCCTTTAGCGTTGACATTCGCACCTTGCTCTAGAAGTATTTGAACAATAGTCTTATGCCCTTTTGAGGATGCAGCATATAGGGGATGGCTGAAATCTCTGCCGGAATCTCAACCTGCACAATGTCGTGGTGAACCCTGAAGAGAAGGTCTATCACTCCTATCACATATGTACTTGATTTCCTCGTGGCCTTTCCTGATCTGGTTTAGCGCGCAAGCTATGATCACTGAGCCGCGGGCTGAGCGACGGGCAAGTCGCAGGCGTCTCTTTGTTGCGGGGTTCGGTTGGTTGTCGTTTCCCAGCGGTTCTGCCCGGCGTGGCCGCCCTTCACTAGTCGATTGACAAGGGTGCCGTAACAGAAAGGTCTTGGATTATAGAAAAAGTTACGCTAGGGATTTAGAACTGTAAGTCCTCCAATATTTAAGAATATTGGTAATATATTGGGTAAATTTTAAAGATAATATAATCTAAGTGTATTTGAAGCGATACTTATTTTAGCAATAAGCAATAGTATTATATTGCTTAATCATAGAATTTAATTATATGATCAAATAAGGACGTTCAACAACTAAAAGGTGAGTATTGCTAACAATAATCCTTTTTTTAATGCCCAACATCTTTGTTAGCTTCAAATAATATTGTATAATCATTATTATTACAATGTAATAATGATGAAATAGACTTGATTAATATTTAAGCTTAATATTATATAAGTAATAAATATCAATTATATTTATATCTTAATATGTATACAAATATGCTAAATATTATAAAACACGATGCTCCCCGGACCTCATCACTATGTCCGCGGACGCAATCGTGCCAACATGCACCGAAGGCCATGTATCCTCTCTATCAGGACGGTCGTGGCTGACGCTGGACCCCGCACACCCAAGGCCAGCGCAATCCGTCTCAAGCGCCTCCGTACATACGGAATCCGCCGAGTTCTTCCTTATGCACGAATACGCTCTCCGCCCACCCGGCCCATGATGTTTGTGCCGATAGGACGGCGCACAGAGAACATCTAGCGCCTTCCTAGGATACAACCACTTCTTATCGCGCTGTTGGAGACTCCGAAAATAGCCCACAATACAATCCCGGAACTTACCTCTTGTCCGCTTCCTCCGCAGCCCAACTAGGATCGAGCGAATCTCCCGGTTCGGCTGACCTAGTGTTTTCTTTACCCTGTTCTTCCGCTGTAAGCCGCTAGGATGCTGCCGGCCAAAGTCGTATTCAATGACCGCGTCGCTGACGATCACGTCGCTGACGATCACGTCGCTGACGATCACGTCGCTAAGAAAGATCGGTTAGTTGTTTCGCCGGAAGGGCACGCCGCCGCAGATTCCCACGGCTAGCGCGACTTCGATGCGCGTGCAGCTTATTTTTAGGCTGGAGACGATGCTGGCGGCGTTGCGGTTGCCCATCCCTGGCATGTAGCACAGCACGATGTGGTGTTTTCCTATGCGGCCGCCCGTGGTGTAGGTGTTGTCGTCGCCTTGTTGTTTGCCGTAGAATTGGCTCAGGGTGTCATATGTTTTGTGGAAGAGCTCCTCAATAGCTTCGGCTTCAATCGGAAGGGCGCAGATGATCGCGACTGTAAAGTCGCTGCGGGATTTGGGACGTATGGTGATGTGTCGACGAGAGGGAAGGCTAGATGGATATTCTCTTTGAAAGTGTAGTGGCAAAGGAGTGGTTTTATCGATCGATACGCCCACTCCGGGCATTACTGTCAGCCTTTTTAATATCCATAATTGTTGTGCCACAGTGGTCTGCCGAAGTCATGTTATAGTATCTGGGGAGGGGAGTTAAGCGCCGGGGTTGCCCAGCCTCCCACCCCAGTAGGCGAAGCAAGTAATGATTGGGCTGTACTACGACCAAAGTGAGGTCGGCGCGCCAATCTCAATGACAGCGTAATCCATACCCAAGGTAGGTATTCTCCTCCATATTTTGTACAACGCACTCTCTCTGTACATGGTATCCAAAATATATCAAAACTTCCAATCCAATGACAGACATTCTTCACTAGGCAAGGCTGACAGTATCTGGCGAAGATTCGTTACGACCGGAACACCCTGTCTGACTTCACCTTTGGGTAACAAAAGCAATATCCCTTTCTCCAGGTTCTAATTGCTTCTCCTGTGGGTATGATTCGAGGTCTTCAGTCCACCTGCAGTTCTCCACATATCCTTGCCACGCAGTTACACTACTGCGTCAAACAGCGTGAGCATGATGTTTGTTCCGGGGAAGCGACATCCAGATGAGAATTAATGCGATCAGCAAGGCGAGAATGAAAGGCTGCAGGCTTTGTACACCACGCGCCCCAGATATAGCACCAGCGACAAACGGCAGTCTACGTCAAGGCAAAATATTAGCCAGACTCCGAGCAGCAAGCGAGAGCACCGTGGAGGAAGGAAGTGAACTTACATTGCTGCACCCCCGCCAGCCAACGCAGACGCAAGCCCAATGCCTGGGGTATGGAGATGCTTCGGGAGCAGCTTTGCCGCCACGACAATCACCGCGGGGAAGAGGGGGCCGGTAAAGAAGCCGAGCAGCGAGACAGCCACTGCAGACACGACGAACTTTGGTACCAGCCAAAATACCAGCTCCAGCGCAATTGAAATAGTCAGATAAATGCTGACCGCAATCCGCTCTCCTTCATTCTCGGTAAGTATTCAAGCATCATGGCTTCATAGGAGCAGAACGTACCCAACCACTCGTTCACAAAACCGAGTACAAGGCGGCCCACGGTGACGCCAGCCCAAAACCCGGTTGGAACCAGTCCCGACTCGTATGGCTTTCCATCACGGACCTGCACCATGAAATCGACGACCCAGCCACCCACCGACACTGAGGTTCAGCGATCAGATGACCGTTCGCTCCTAGGATAAGCAGAGCAACGCACCTTCGACTCCCATGTACACAAACAGCCAGACGGCTATCAGCCAGGTAATGGGGCTCTTCATAGCCTCTGTAGTTCTGCTTCCACCAGTGCTATCGGGGCTTCTGCGGTTTTTGGCTCTGAAGCTGGCTGCATTCTCTTTCCAGAAGAGAGTAGAACCTGCCAATAGTTCCAGGACAGACCCGCCCAGCAGCGTATAATAAAAAAAGTTCCAGCGAAGGCCGGACTTGATCATCTGGGTCGCGATCAGTGGGCTCAAGGTTGCGCTGGAGTGATCATCAGTATTGCCATGCGCAGCCAGTGCAAAAGTCAACATACCCGAGGCCATAGAATGCGGCAAGGAGCCCCATCACAGTGTTCGCACTGGCCATATCCGCAATCCAGGAATTCCATGCCGCATCGATGAGGCCATTGCCCAAGCCAACAAGCACGTAGACAGCCAACATGGCCGGCCAGGGCGGGTGGAGGGCCATAATCACAAACGGAATGATGTGGCATAGAGGACCGATAATCGCAATCCCGCGCTGACCGAATGTCATATGAATCTTGTTGACAATGAGTGTCGCCATCGTGTATCCAGCAAACGGGGTGACGAAAATCAAGGAGACCACCGTGGTAGACAGCTTATAGTCTTCGCGAAGCTACTCGCGTCAGTATTTCGCCGGTAAGTGAATGAACTTCGGTCACTGCATACATATGGGACTAGTGCCTGCAAAACAAGTGATTAGCCTGTTATCTTTCCCTGATGCGGGAGTTCTTATAGGAAAGGCTCACTCCATAAACACCATCGCTCGCTCCTACAACCGCAAAACTGACGAATGTAGCTAAAAGGCGCCATCTGTTAATGGGGGGATCGTTCCATTTTTGCTTTGCTGGTGCGATTGCAACTTCAGCACTCGGACCGAATGCTTGGACTGAGCTCTGCGACTCTTGTTGTCCTTGTGAGACTAGCTCCACCGTTCTGGCTGACATGTTGTGCTCGAAGAAGGGTAGGGAGAATGAGTCAAGGGAGAAGAGAGAGATTGGCTCTGTCACCAGCTAATGGTATTTAATATGTGACCAAGAATACTTTCTCCACTGGATGAGTCAAGATCTGTCTTTGTCTGGCTTTGGTTATAGGCTGGCCTACCAACTCAGAATCATGGCCCCTCGGCAATCTTGGCGTAAGACATTCCCGTATCCTTGGTCTCACACGACATTGTGCTTTTCTCCATGGAAGCGAGACGCCGGGTCGAGTGCCAGTAACAGCGGACTAGAGATAGAGCGTAGCGAACTAGACGATTGTACTTCCACGCTGAGAAAGTTGAATAGACCCGGTGATGCCGGTAGATGACACCAAAGACATCCACAGCTATAGGGTCTTGTCCTTCGTCGAAATTTCTGCATTCGGCCGGAAATACTCCTGGGAGAAACTATGTCGTCATGGACCAACATCGCGGCCTACATCGTCCGCCCGCCCGATTGATATGACTTTGATGAACAGACAAGTCGTCTCGGGCAAAAATTGCATTAAAATGCTCTGGGGTTTCCTCTGTGACGGACAACTCTAACAAACAAGAACTCCGTGGCTACCCGACACCACTTCCAGCAGACACGATGGCATGCCTTAAGTGAATTAAAGTCGAGTAGCTGAAATACTGTAATAATTTCCTATCTGTTTCAGTAAAGCTAGTGGATCTCTGGTGGCATTCCTTTCTCTAACCTCAGGGAACTCCTCCATTGAACCTGGATTCGATAGCACTGGCCGCTGTCTAGCACTACTGCTCTGTCTTCTGTTTTAAGAACACTGCCTGGCCTCCTGAATCCCGAGGGCCATGGTACGGGTGAGAGGGCACGTGAGCGACAGGATCTTGGCAGCAGAGTCACAAGACAGAACCAGGCTTGTGAATGTGGTTTTAACGCCGTGCCCCCAGGCCCGAGCTCACAGCTCCTCGCTCTCAGGCGACTAGGCACATGCGTCAAAATCGGAACTTATTCTGTGCTATATCTCGCATATTGTGACAACGTTGGTTATATGATAGCTGTACCGTGACCGACACCGACTCAATACCACATCAATCTCAAGAATCTATTCTCGTGCCCCAAGTATTGAGGCCATCACCGACGCACAATAGGGGGTTTGATCTGCTGCTACCTTCCCATCTGGCGCTTCGTCTTCCGCAGGATTAGCAGGAGGATATTAGAGCCATCAGCTGTAGCTGCTGAGAAACTGGACGATATGGCGACTGTACGCATCTTCATATCTTGCAGAATCATACCGCGTCGGTTATATTCCCGCACCGTCCTGACCAGCTCCGAGGTGTGGGATGGGTCGACGCGGACCACATTAACGGTCGTCCATTACTCGTTTTCTCGTAGAGGTAGAAAGTGATGTTCACTCGGCCGTCGCCTGGCCCCTGTCCAGCCTCTGCCTCTACCCCTGCGCGGATTGCCAGCCTTCTGAAGTTGTATTGAGTGACTCGCTGAGGACGGACGGTACCAGAGGAGCTGGCTCCTTCACGTTCGTCTGGTGGACGCTCGTCGTTAGAGACATCAAACCGGACTTGCCGGCGCGCTACCGAGGGTTCTGAGACTTCCGTCTATTGCTTCCAACTTCACCGTCGCTAGAGGCTCCAGTGACTTTGTTCCTGTGTCGTTTTCTGCCAGATGCCATTCCAGGTGGTCAGCTATCGCTGCATCCCGGGCACCAGCCCGGTTGGCGTCTCGCGTATTTGGCTTAGGATTCTTCCGCTTCTTCCCTATGCCTGCAGGCTTGGATGGCAGCTGGTGAGGTCTGGTGCTGCTCTTCTGTAGGCTGCTGTGATCAACTGCTGTGTTGCTATCCGAATGAGCTGGCCCCTCCCGCCTCTGCACCAGTAATCCGGTGATATCCAATTGAGTGTTGGGCCGGGGATCATGTCCGGAACCGGGGGATAGATAATGCCCCCGCAATATCTATCCCGGTGGAGCTATTCTGCCCTGCCTGGAGCCGCGCCAGAGCGGCAGCTCTCTCACTCTCTACGTGGCTAGCATCTTCAAGCCGCCGCTCTCCAGGTTGTTCCTCGTCGATAGTCGTGGCTCAGCTATGGCCTGCCCTTGGTCGCCCATCTCACTCTGTTCAGCGTCCATGCGGATTATATCCCCTATCATGTCATCAGTTTCTGCTTCCGTATCAATAGGAGCCCGATAGGCCTGATCGATACCTATGTCATGGGTCGGAATGTAGAGTGGGACGTGGGAGTTCCTTCCGTCTCGCTCCACTCCTGCGAAGCAGTGGGTGAATAGACTTGAGGGCCGCCTCCTCTCTCCCTTTCTCCCGGGGTACCTTCCTCTGTAGTGGGCCAGTTTGTGCTTTGTTGGGTCCCGGGAATGGACGCATCAGCGGTCTGCTGTTCGCTGGCAGGGGTATTCCGTGCCAATGGTGCGCTTGAGTTTTCATTTTGTTCTTGGCTGGTGCCCCCATCAACCCTTGCCGCTCGCACACCGTTGCCTCTGTAAGGGCTTTGGCGACCAGCTTCGGAAGACTCCTGTACATGTGAGATGAGGGACAGTTGCTGGTCAACTAACTGATGGACAAGACTGCGAAGGACGGCGGTAGCGTTATTAATCCGCGAGTCGCTAGTTTGACAGAAGAAAAAAGACCAGAGCGTAGAGTTGTCAATTGTTGCCTCCAGTTCGTCGATAATGCCACATAGCAGCATTGTCTTGCCTTTGCCAGGATCTCCGCGAACCCAAAGAAGTCGGCTTTGCTGGTCCGTACGTCATTGTTCAAAATCGGGGTTCTTGAGAATCCAACTATATACATCACGCATCAGGTCGCCTTTAGTCTGCTGAATTCGCATCTTCTAATACTTCGGATCTGACGCCCATAGGTCGTTGAGGCACTGGCGGTCATTTTCATTTATCACATACAAGATTCTTCGGAGCTAAGCCTTGTTCGATAGATAACAATACTGCTGGAACCATATACCTTGATTTCGATTGCCATCAAGACAACACTGCAACCAGTCTTTTAAACCCGTTATCATCCACAGAGCGGAACCTGACTATTTTACTATGATCAGCATAAATGCTCATCAAGTTATATCCCTCGAATGTGGCAGATTCTTTAGAGACAACTTTGCCGACCACGGGCAGGGGCAGTTCTTCATAGAAACACATAACTTCCAGACTTCGGTGGTTCTCTCGTAGTTCTCGGACCATAGACAAGAAGTCGTTTTGAACAGCTTCGAGCAGCTGGTTCTCCGCCCGCAAGATATCGATCAACGACTTATTGCTCGACTTTACCAGTCCAAGAGCATCAGCCGAAATCTTTGCCCAGTCCGCCATCCATGAACCCTTATGTGGCGTGCCCATGAAAACGACGCCTTTGGTACAATCGAATATGCTTCGGAGGTTTGAGTCGGGGTTATTTCGTGAGCTCAAGATGGCTTTCTTGCAGACTAGGCCGCCCAAGCTATGCGCCACGAAAATTATGGGGCGGGATGAGGCGTTAATAACATCTCGGTCGTCTGTTAAGTCGTTCAAGAGGTTTGTGGCATGGTCGATTAAGCGATTTGAGCCAGCAACCGACCCTCGCACCACATACGCATCATAACCATAAGTGAGTATGCGAGCGGTGGGAAGCTTAGGCGGAAGAAGGGTTTTAGGCCACGGATCAGCCTGGCCCTGAGTAACCTAAGTGGTGATCCGGTCACCCGTCAAGCCATGAACAAAACAAATATCGACCGTAGCGTTGGGGCAGTCATGCAGAACTTTGACGCCGTCAGGAAACGTAGGTGGCAAAGAGTCTTCAGTGGACGCTTGGGATGATTTCGGCGGACTGACTCTATTACTTGGAGAGGCCTGATTATTTCTCCGTCTTCCCCCAAGGGCCTGTCTGAGCTTCCTCATGGCAGCTTGCGTCGACGTATGAAGGGTGCTGTTTGCGCAGATAAGCACTTGAAGTGTGCGGATGGTGGACCAGAGGGATAGAGCTGAACTGGATGCATTAGAACGTGACGGCAAATGGCCCAACCATGTCACTGTATCTGGCGCCAGATCGCAAGCTTACTTGCCTATTTTAGGTGTAGGGCGCTTCGAAGCGTCCCACCACGTGATTCCCAAGCGCGTCGTGATCATTGGGAATATTATTAGCCCGACCTCGTGGTTTCCGATGGCCACGTAACCATATTGAACGACTTCCTATACATACAGTACGTCCATCAGGTCCTATCGTATAATGGCGCCAAATTTAAAGTCTCATCAACTCGAAATGATTCAGCACATGATCCAGAGTAAATCTCTGACTACCTCCCAGATGGCTCATGCCGCCGGCTGCAGCAAACAATCCATTATACGCATTAAGTCTAATCTGCAAGTGTTTGGGAATGTTCGAGCCCCTAGAAATGGCCCTGGGCGCCCCCATACCATCACTCCACCCATGTTGGACGCGCTCTGTGAGCATTTGTTGGAAAAACCCACACTATATCAAGATGAAATGGCTGTGTTCTTGTGGGACGAGTTCGGAAAACACGTGTCAATACAGAGCATCAGCAGAGCACTGGCTTCCATCAGTTGGTCCAAGAAGACGGCTCGGCAGATTGCAAAGGAACGGAATGCGGACTTACGGGACCACTATCTCTATCAATTATTATCCTACAAATCTTACCAGTTGGTCTACGTGGATGAGTCAGGTTGCGATAAACGGACTGGGTTTAGACGCACAGGCTGGTCTCCTCTGGGCATAACACCAGTCCAGATCTCCAAGTTCCATCGGGACAAACGCTACCAGATCTTGCCTGCTTACGCTCAGGACGGAGTTGTCATATCCCGAGTTTTCCAGGGTTCGACGGATGGCCGAATCTTCGAGGATTTTATCCAACAGCTCCTCCAACACTGCAACAGATGGCCAGAGCTGAAGTCTGTAATTATTATGGACAATGCGTCATTTCATCGCACAGAGCGGATCGATCAGATTTGCGCAGAGGCTGGTGTTAAGTTGTTATACTTACCGCCGTATTCGCCAGACTTAAACCCCATCGAGGAATTCTTCTCCGAGCTAAAACAGTTCATCAAGAAGAGATGGCAGGAGTACGAAGAGAACCCAGACCAAGGATTCGACGCCTTCCTTGAATGGTGCATTAGTGTCGTTGGGTCGAAAGCGCAGAATGCGGAAGGTCACTTCCGACACGCTGGTCTGACGATTGACAGGATATAACTTGATGGGTGGTAGGAGACATAGACATCAAAAGTAAACTATAGACAACTGATAGCAATCATTACAGTATCAACCGTTTGCCGCCTTCACTACTCCTGTAGGTGAAAGCGATTGTCTTCAGCCCAGTGCCTGATATCCTTAACAAAACGGCGAACAATGCCCCATTCCACTCCTCGCTTTCAAAAATATTCCGGATCCTTATCCTCGTGAATCTGTTCCAAGTCCAAGCCGTCATTTATGGCAACGTCACATGCCTTCCGGAACTCGGCTTTCCACATTCATCGCCGACTTGCGATTGTCGCTAGCACTGTAGGCTTGAACTGCCGCATCACGAAGGCCAGGGATAGCCAGGCAAGGGGAAGGGACTTGCTTATCAAGCGGGCTCTCAGGACACGACATGCTCGATACGGCCGGCTGCGCGACCTGACCCGGAAGGACGTTCGTGATATTGATGGGGGGTAAGGCGGGGTCGGTCAACGAGCGGCTATGCCCCTTCTGTCCAGCTGGCCGCTGTCTCTCCACTTTATAGATCCGTTCACGGATCCAATCAGGCACATCATCATGGGACTGCAACATTCCACCAGTCTCCACCGAACCAGGCTCGCCAGCTCGTCTCTGTAAAGCTTATAGTGTTTCTTTCCGTAAGGGTCCTGCCAACAGTGCGGACCCAGGTCGCAGGAACCGGGACAGCGCATTAAGACATAAACTATCCTCCAAGCAGAGGGCTGTCCGGATCGCTCCTCTTCCTCTTGTATCTGTTGCTCTCGCTCTTGGGGCATGCGTTGGGTGGCGGAGGTAGAGCCGCGTTTATCTGCCATCCGGCGAGTCGCTGAGGAACCTGGGCTGTTTTCAATATAGTTGAAGGAGATGTTGAGCCCAATTTCTTGCCGGCAAGGAGATCACCCCACTCAAGAAGCTGCTTTTCTATAGCAGGCCATTGGATATTTGTTTTCTCGAACCGCCGAGTAAGGTCTCGCTGAGAATGCCGAGTCACAGATACCACAACAGACGTATCATCTGATTCCACATTACGGTGGGAGTATTTCCTGGAGATCAACTCCTTCAGCTTTGGCTCAAGGAGAAGCCTCCAGTAGAGTCTAGGTGCCAAAACAACAACTTGTTCGGTGTCTTTTGCCACAGTCCTGTGGTTGAGAGTAACCTTCCATTCGATCGAGTAGTGTATGCAGGTTGGAGGATCTTCATCGTATGTCCGGTCTTCTTCCGCGCCAGCTGGTCGACCGTGTAGTATAGGATAAGCACCCCCTGCTCCACGGGGTCGGCTGTGTTGGGGTCGGGCGACTCGACGCTGCGCAGCAAGTCGGCCGGCGAGATTTCCTGCAGATACTCGGTCCACCGCGTTATGCGCAGCTACGGATTCGCGTCGTGGAGCTGCGTAGGTTCGACGGGGGCCTGTTAACAGGCGGTCTCCGCCTGCTCCTACGCCTGTACCACCGCATCTACTGCTTGCTAGGCCTGGCTGGGCCGGGGCGGTGGCGGCGCCCGGCCGTGCGGGAACCGGATGTGGATATAGTGCGAGCCCGCGCGCGAGGGAAACAGCTACTAGTACGACACGGCCTCGTATAACCGCTGCAGCTCGGCCTCGCGCTGCGCTCGCTGGGACTGCGGGCCGCGGCCCTGCTCGGGGTACTAGGACCACTAATAGACGCGTTGGTAGTGCTTCCGCATCGACCGCATGTTCGCGACGAGATACTGGCACGTCGTCGGATTACGGCGACAGAGAATCCCCTACGAGAAACAGGGGATGATTGGTAGCGGCTCGTCAAGGCAAGAGGGGATTTAGACGGCCTGACTGTTAGGCGCAACGTCTGTCTACTGGAGAATCGTCTGGAGTATCGGCTGTACGGTCTGATAATCGAGCTAATGCTGTCGCTTAAGATGTCGCTCCGCCTCAGCCGGCCAGACCCCATATCGACACTAGCGGTAGATTATTACCTGTAGTCGCGGGACACGTTCGAACAGCTCGTCCGCTATGAGAGGAAAGAACACAAGAATCTAGCTACAGAGGGTAGTCTTGAGTAGATACACATCGCATATAGCTTTCAATAGAGAAAGGTAAAGAAGAACACAGCGGCGTAATGGTTCGCAGACGGCCTTTTAGGGGGTGGTAAGCTGGGTTAGGCTATAGTAATCGGTGATATAGAGTAGTACGGAGCGGGAGGGAGAGATATATATAGATCGAGTCGGTCGCGAAGGCGTCAGACCCGTACTCTATTAAAAAATCCAGCAGTAAATCCATTGATTTTTAACCGCTCTTATCGGCGTAAATGAAGGGCAATTGCCTTTAAACTGGGCTAGGAGGTTCTACAATCGCCAATCGGCGAGCTAGCGAAGTCTGGGTCGATTCCGACGCCGGGAAGTCGAAAAGGGCCGGATGGCAAGTCCCAAAGGGGCTCTACGGGGACCCCAAACCCTAACCCCGTAGAAAATCCGCGAACCCGATATGGGCCGCACGTAACGCCCCCCGGGGCCGCTGGGGTAGGGCTGGCTATTGCCCGCCAGCAGATTCAGAAGCTAGATGGTCAAGCAGAGCGGTCAACTGCAATGGCAGACGGTCCTGGCCCGGTATGGGCTCCGGCACAAAGATATCCCATTAGCATTCGGATACCCTCGAATCTCGCTCGCGTGATGCGGTTCCTACCCGAAGGAGTGAAGCGGTCCATTAACCTCTGTGACCGTGCGGACTTGGCAAGAGTTGCCATGGCCCTGGTCAATTGCTGGGTATCTGGGGATGGCGGGGAAGGAGCTTTGACCACCTGGGGAACGATGTGGCCGCTTGCCAGCGCTGAGACGTCGGGCAAGATTGTTGAGGTAGAACAGATCATGGAGTAAGCGACTGTACTTTTGGTGATGGAAGTATGACTTTGGAAAGCCCGTCTCTTTGTATCCATCACATCAAATATTCCCAATCATAAGCCGCCGTTAGCGAGCTTTTGGACCATTCTCTAGACATTTATATCCGTCGGTCTGCCATCACGGCCGCCGATATGATTGCTCCCTGCAAGTCGATCTGGGTGACCTTCGCTCGTGCTGCTACACACAGATATTCATCCAATTTACTATTGCATATGAAGATGAAGTCGTGTCCGCAGACCCCACGAAAATTTTCTACAAGCCTACGTCCTCCACTCAGCCTGGATCAGGTTAAAAAGGTGTTGCCATACTTATCCCCTCCCCAGCTCGAGTGCGCGCAGCTATGGATCGACGAGGCTCGAATTCTCCAGGATGCCTCATTCACTTTACTTACGCTGTTGACTGAATGTGGGGTCTGACCAACGAAGAGGTGGCCTTTGCGCGACCCCAGATCCATGGGACGTTTACGACGGACGGGATACAGCGTGCGATCCCGGACCTCCGCCCGACCCAGATGATACTGGTCGTGCGATCTGAAACCCATCCTCACGGATGGGAAACGGGCGGCACGAGCCGCCACATTCATGCTGGCGACCGAGCTCCTTGGGCAATTCAGGAGCGTCAACATAGAACGCTAGCGGAGCTTTGAGTCCTCAATCGTAGAAGGAAACACAAATAAGCAAGACAGAAGCGATGTACATACGCCTGAGAGGGCCAGTTTAGTCAAGCCACCTGCCGCATAGCTGCCTCAGGGGCGGCTGGGACGGTGAATGCTCACGTAACCTGAACCTGAGATTCGCGGGGAAGCGGCGCGTCAGGCCGTGGTGCAGATGCGGCTGGAATTCGAGGGGAAAGCCTATGATTGGCCCCAACATTGGTGTTGACGGGAGGCCGAAGCCTACCATACTATCCTTAAGTATCCCTCGGATACAGTCAGTGAACAGGTGGCCGGCATTGGGACGTCTCGAGAAATCTTGAACGATCTCGAAGAACGATACCAACAGAGGGAAGTGGCTACCTACTGTGACCTGTTCGCACAGCTGCGAGCGACCACCGGCAACCGTTGCAAAACGGCACGCGATTTTCTCGACCGAGTCTGTCTACTGGTAAACCGCCTGAATGCGATCACGCCAGGTTCGATCGGGGACGGAACTCGTATCGCGATCCTGTTGACCCAGAACCGCACGCTCCTGTATGATGCGAGACTTCCTCTCTCTTTGGACCGAGATCCTTCACACTGCCGTTACAAATTGCGCGCGCTCGTAGTTCCTGCAAAAGAAGACCATAAGAGAGATTCTATACGGAAAGCCGTTAAGCTTATCCCATCTCCGCCGCATCGGCTCGCAAGCTTCGGTCCTGACCCCAAAGAACAGAGGCCCAAATTAGGGCCCCGCCCCTCCGCGTGCCGGCTGCTCGGGTACGGCCAAGCCAAATCAATATAAGCTGTACGAGGTCCATTCCGGACGTATCGTCTTTCCCGTGACGTCAAGTTCGTGTTGAGCAATTTTTGGGCGGTGCTTTTTATTCCAAGGACCAGAAATGAAGAGAAGGGAGGACTGACGAAATTACGACGTACTTCCATCTTCAACTCCCTTGCAGCAGGAAGTCTGCCCTGACTGTTTTTCACATTAGGAGCAAGCATATCCATAGCCAAATCCCTCGTCCCGAGTATACTTCCCATGTATACAGGTTTCCCCATGCTTTCCTGACCCCGTTCACACCAGCATCCCCCCGAATGGCTCAGCGTCCGCTCGTTGCGTGGTTCTAATAGGGTAGAGATTCTGAAGTAAACACAGCGGGGTGGCATCACTCAACGTGCCATAAGACAGCATCCTCATCCCCAAAGGGATCACTAGATAGTAATAGTGTGCATCAATCCCATACACTCTAGTCGGCCAAATACAAAATAAAAACACTGAACGCTGAGGGGCCATGGCCAAAACACATGCATGAAAACGATCAACCATGCCGAATCCAGACAAGAACGCCCAATATATTCAGAACCAGTCAATACACATACTTTCACCCTCTCCTCCTCAATTGATACACATATGAAGTTATCCAAACTGATCTTCCGGGTTTGTGTAGTCCATCCTCCGGCAGAACACATCTATCCTTACTGTGTCCGCCAATCTCAGACAAGAGAAAGAATAGCCACGAGAGGCGCCGCACAGTAGTCACTCTTCATACGGCGACATCCGACGCTCGTACTGAGCCACCGTTTCTCTGGCGGGTCAAGTCATGATCCAACAGAGCTAGAATGGAGAAGAAGCTCGATATACTAATCAATGCATTCATCGATTATGGCCATCATGTCATCGTGCTGTAAGGTTGCTTACAACGGCTGCCGCTGGAAGCCATCGGATTCCGTCCAGTCATCTGGTCATATACACTATGTCCACCTAGGACTGGGACTGCGACCGGTTGTGCTTGTACGCCGACGAGGGACCGCGAAACGAGACGTCCATCCTCCTTGGCCATCATCATGCATTTCCTCCGAGTTCGTTCGATGCATCCGATGCGTCCGGATGTGTTGCTTCATGTTGTCCTTACGCGTGAACGTCTTGTTGCAAATCGGACAGTGGCCGCTCTTCTCTCCCGTATGCTTCTTCCCGTGGCGGGCGGCATGTCCGGAAGTTGTAAATGTTGCTGAGCAGCCGTGACTGCCAGCGAATGGACAAGGGTGTCTGTCCTTTCGCGGCTTGGGGAGCAGGTTGTGCTTGGTTCCACTGATCGACATGGACGGGGATGGAGGCTCGGTCGCCGAGTTGGCGCTCAGCTGGTTCCCAGGATAGCCTGCGGTCGACGCAGAATAGGTGTGGGAGTCGGACTGACGTGGTCGGTAGTCAGAGCTTGTGGTCGTGCTGCTCATATAGTCGTAAGAGCAATCGGAAGACCCCGGGGAGGCTGGCTGCTTGGACTCCGAGACAGGATCAAATGCCGGCCTAGGAACCATGGGCGATACTACCAGGGACCCGTAGGTCCGCCCATAGCGAGTCTCGGGGGTTAAGGACTCGTAATATATTGATGGGTAGGGGTATGATGACGGAGAATGGCGTCGAGCAGATCTATGAGATGATCGAACGGTAAATGCTGGATTATCATCATTGTTCAGGATAGAGACAAAGCTCGCCTTGTAGCTAGCCATTCCCTCTGTGGCCCTCGAGAAGGGAGGACTATTTTGAATTAGCCTAGGTAGACGCATAGATAGGCCGGTTCACACAATGGCCAGACCGTCTTCGTCCGATCTATAACGCCGGAGATCCATGCCAGTACCAGAAATTATCTCCTACAGAGAAACCGGCCCTGCCGGGGACCCTTAGGAAGGGGAAAAGACAGAAGTACCTACCACTTTCTTCGAATATATTTGTCTCCTTCTTCATGTATCACGCACCCGATTTGTTGGAAAGCACTCGGGAAGATCTCACAACGGCCCACCGGCGACTCAGGTCAACCTGGTCGTGGCGGTCGTGTTCGGGCAGAACGACTTCCGCGGCGAGCAAGCACCCACGCTCTGGATCAGGAGAGAATGCGGGATTCGTCGTTGCCAGCCGGTGGGTTAGACAATTGTCGGACAAGCCAGGGGGTCGCCTTTGTATTCGACGGCCCCGATCCGTGTTGATAGCAAATGCACACGAGTTTAGCGGCGAAGGATTGGGGTGATGGTGGTCTTGCAGGAAGTAATGAAATCCACCCGGAGAGGGCTCCGAGCGCAGTCTTCCAGAGAAGTATCGAGCTAGGAAGAAGAAGGAGGAAGGGAATGAGTAAAGTAGAGAATTTACAGGAGGTATAAAATATATAGGTGAGTGGTGGAATCCCTGGTCGGAGAATTTGATCGATGGGTGTCAAATCGATCGGAGATAAGGGTTTCAATTAAGCTCTGGCCAGTATGGATGTGGTCTAGTCTCGTGACTTAATGACGCTTGTTTCGGTGGTGGCCTGTGGAGGCCGGCGGAGCCCCAGGCATCAGCGTTAACTTTCGTATCGTCGTATTAGTCGCTTTGCTTTCGAGACATATCCTTCAGTGAATTGTTTTCTTCCAGTCTCTTTCTGTAGTAAAACGATCGGTCAACGGAACATATCATTGAATATCGTATACAGTCTAACTAAAGATATTCCTCGGCAGCGACTTGATCAGAAATAATACAGTGTATAGGACCAAGACAGTGAGGTCCCTGACCGGTATGTATCCCTGTCGTCAGGCGAATAACCATACTCCATCACTTGCGCCATCATCGTTTTGTGTTTGCCAGACGTGCTGGCACTAGGTAACTTCAGTTGGGTCGGGGACTCAGAGACCGAGGACCGTCCGCTAGGGTTGGATCGGATTATCAGAGTAATCCCAGTACGAAAATATACGAAGTCAGACTGGATCCAGGTATAAACTGCCTTTGTACCAAGATTACCAGACCGTGTTATGGCCAAATGTACCGTTAGATATTCCGTCCTGGTCAATACTGTCACTAAATCAAACACAAGAATAGATTGCTAATGCTTTCTGAACTCCATATCCGCGTCTCTGCTATCTCCACGTCTTCCCTTCAAATCTCCTCGGTGGTTGGAAGCCAGGACATTGACTGAACAGTATATCGCTCGTGGCAGTATACTGGTTACCCGACACTATGGAGTGCTTTTTGAGTCGGTGAGAAGCCGCCGCAAGGCTGGGCTGTGTGCACACGTGTTGTGTCAACGTCATCAAATGGGCTGTGCAGGCGCACGCAAACACTTTGCCCTAGGGAGGACACCGGCGCCAGATCGGCAGCCAGGAACGCCAACTACGTGATTGTCTCGGTTCGTCTCTTGTGCCGCGGATGCAGTTGATAAATACGGCAACGACGGTAGCTTTCAGAACGCCCGGCGTTGTAATCCGTCCGAAATGTGTAGTTTAGGTTGTTCCCCCCTCCCGCTCCATCAAGATGGCACCCGGCGGGGTATACTTTTGAGACAGCTCATGCTTGAGGAAGTTACTCCTTACTCCGAAGGTTGATGATAAAGCTACCATACGACTTTCACCGGCCTCCCACCAGTCTCCCACCAGTCTCCCACCGGTCTCCCACTCCCGCCAGTCTCCCGCCAGTCTCCCGCCAGTCTTCCCCGGCCTCCTACCGCCACCATCGACACTTTACTCACTCTGGGAGGTACTGGTAATGACGCGAATGATTCGCGTATCTCTCAGTAGCCTTAATCATATGCAGATCAAATAATCAATAGGATCTCTATAGCATGATGGTCGTAAGATCTTGTATTCCGCCCTTTTCCTAGGAAGCGGGCATCAGCTTGTACTTCGTAACCTCGGGTATCTTCAAGGTTAACGTGTTGGAATTGCTTTAGGTTTGATATGGGGCGTCAATGAACAGTTAGCCCCTTAACTCAAAAGGTTGGAGCCCGATAGATTAGTGATCAGACGACAGTAGTGCTTGGAAATGTAGTTGTCACTGTATTGCTTCCTAATCAGCATTCAGCCACATTGGAAGAACCAAATAAGTATATATAACCCGAGGAGAGGTCATGCTAGACCTGTTGACACAGCTATCATACGAGAACCTAATAACTTTTTCCTTGTGCCTTTGTTATTGTACTAAGTACGTTCTTGACAATGCCTGCTTTCAATTTCTCGACGACTGGATCCGAAGTAGTGGCTGCATTGCCAGATCGAGTCGCTGGGAAGACATGTAAGTATATCTTCCTGCGAGCAGCAGAGCGTCCCCAATTCGATGTTGTTGCTGAAGAGGCTATAGTTGTTATCACCGGAGCTAGTCCGGGAGGCCTTGGAGCCAACACAGCCCTTTGCCTCGCAGCTGCCAATCCTGCCGAGATCGTCCTTCTCGGGCGCTCCGAAGAGAAAGTCTCTCCAGTCATGAAGGAGATCAGCAAAATCAGCCCCTCCACCATTGTTCGATTTATCAAAATTGACCTTATGTCTTGTGCATCAGTGCGCACTGCGGCAGCGGAGATTAATGCGTCTGTCTCAAAGATCGATGTCCTAATCAATAACGCAGGCATTATGGGTGTCAAATTTTCCCTGACTGCTGAAAACGTGGAAAGCCACCTGGGTGCGAATCACATTGGTCACTTCCTGCTCACCAACCTCCTGGTTCCGAAACTTGAAGCTTCTGGCGGTGGCGCTCGCATCGTGAATGTATCCAGTGCCATGTACCAGCTTAGCCCAGTTATGTTCGACAACTATAACTTCTCCGACGGCAAGACCTACGACCCTTGGATCGCTTATGCACAGTCCAAGACAGCAAACATTTTGTTTGCTGTTGCATTGGCCAAACGTCTGGAGATGAAGGAAATACGGTCCTATTCATTACACCCCGGACTTATACAGACAACGGGTCTGTCGTCCGGAGTAGATCCAGCAGCATGGCCAATTGTGGGATCCATGTTTGAAAGCAAGAAGCTTGTGTTGCCGAAGGAAAAGGGCATCGACCAGGGCTGCGCAACTACTCTCGCAGCGGCCCTGGACCCTGCGCTTGACAGTAAGTGTATTCGTATCGGCTGGGTGCCGAGGTAGAAAGTCGGCTAACCAGTTCACAAAGATCTGTCAGGTTCATTCCTGAACGACTGTAATCCAGAAAAGGTTTTGGACTACGCCTCTGACTCCATCAATGCAGACAAATTGTGGAGACTGAGTGAGAAGATTGTCGGAGAAAAATTCAGCTGCTAAAGCGCATCATCCGTTTTGCTGCCAAGTGATTTCACATGGCTTCGAATACAATGCCCAACCTGCCTTCTTCAGCAACTAGCAATGTTGAGGTGCATCTATTGGAATATAGCCTATCTTCATAAGTCTTCTTTCTTTCAACACTACCAACGTAGAACTAGTGACTATCAATAGCACCATCGGAGACATGATTATTCTGTACTGTATGCTTGGTACGTCTTCTATTGTAAATTGAACTCTGCCGGTTCTCTCAGAGAACAACCTCTCTAAGGTCTACTGGTTAGTGTGGCTCATTTTCTTCAGCGAGGCGAATCGGCAGTGGGACAACTCTAGAGAAAGAATATGATTCGTCGCTACAGAGGGAAATGTTTTTTCTCCGCACCAAGCAAAGTATGGAGTAATCTACGGAGGAGTGGCTGGATGTTAGTGTATTCCAGTCGACCTAAATCTAGAGCCTGGTTAGTGAGAAAACTACGTCTTGCAATAGCTCCCAATGAAAACCAAGTCTAGCCCAGTCTAGATTGCGCTGTCAGGTGCAACGATGGGGGTACGGCGGAGGCGATTTCGATCTTTGACTTGTTAGAGGGAGGGTGGGAAGCCAGGAGTGGTGATTTGCGGTAATAATTTTAATCTAGAGGATACGGTTCTAAGCGAAATATTTGAGTAGTCAACGCTTGCATTGAAGTTATTTGTCAATAATGGTGTTGCGCGGGCTGCGAGGTCGGCACGACAACTGGGTCTCAACCGTCGGGCTTCCCACGATGCAATATGACTATTCTTGTTATCATTATTATTATAGAGTATAGGGATATGATTTTAAATTGACAACTATTGAAGTCTCAGTTTGGCAAAGGGCTGTGGCCCGCTGAACAGCCCAGTGATAATTGAATACCTATCAGGACCTGAGTATAATCGGCACTATGCAATCCCTGCTGTGTCCGCGATTCGGAAAATATACTTGGTCGCGCTTGCTTTTCCGGCCTTCAAGTCCCTTAGCGCCTCTTCGACCCCCTCAAGGCCCCGTGGTCTGACCTGGAAAGGATGGCCCGAGAAACTGCCCATACTCAACGCTCTCGTAAAATACCTGGAAAAAATAAAGCCAAGCTCCTCATTGTTCTCAAATTCAGGATGCTTTTGTACCGACCCTACTATAGTAATAAATTTCTTCGCTGGAGAGACGTCAAGGTCGTTAGGAAGTAAGAAATCAATCTTCCCACCTGGAGCGATAAATTGCCTCAAAATATCTGCGCTTTGGCGAATGATAACAGCATCAAGTGCATGCTGCGCATTAGAGTGGCCTCCTTGTTTAAGACCGCCTCTGATCTTCTGGGCCATTGTCTCCACACCTTCACGATGGTCAATCACGATATCTCCTTTGCTTCGATCCAGTAAGCTTTGGACATAATGCGAGCCTTGTCCCGCAATAGCAATAATAGGGTGTATGTTACTGTTGCATGCCAGTTTTATAGCAAAAGAACCGACAGCCGTGCTCGCGCCATAGACGATGAATGGGATCGGTTCCATTGCCGGCGCCCATGGAGGTGGGAAGCGGTGGTGCGCATACAAGGAAACAGCAGCGGTCAAGGCAGCAAGTGGGATTGTTGCGGCTTCTAGTAATCGTGATCAGTTACGGACCTACCTAAGAAGACTGCTGTTTAACGCACCTTCGAATGATGTGTGCGCTGGCAAGTGGAACGTTGTGTGACTCCATGCAACAGCGTACTCAGCATACGAGCCACCAGGACACCTTCCATGAAAGGCTGCAACGCGATCGCCCGGCTTGCCAAATCGTAAGCTTTGGCCATGCCGGCGAACGAGGACGACTCACTTTGAATTCAACCACATTGCACCCGACCTTTTCAATGATTCCAGCAATATCGTCCCCCTGGTTCACTCCTTTTCTGATCTCAGGCGTCATGCCGGGAATTGTGTCCCCAGAAGCTGCAAGGTCCGGAACCTTCCAGTCCTTTGGATCGGACCCAGATACGACTACTTTGATGAGCACCTGGTCATCATTTGGCTCAGGGATTGGGCTGTCCACGAACGTCACGGTCGGCCCTGCCAAATTGATGACCTCTTTCATGATTCTTTCTAGTTACCGTGGTCGGGTACCGGAAGACGGAATACAGATAAGGAGTAAAAATGCAGAATATTGTAGATCGTGATGCCGACTTAGTTACCGATTTGGTAGTATAAATATGATAGCTTGATTATAAATCTGCATCCTACCGTACTCCCGCAAAGTCTAGTCGAATGGATGCCACCTTCGCTTTGGCACTCCCTGGGTGACCTCGACTAGCGGATTTATAATCAGGGCCAGTAAAGGTGTGAGGTAAACGGCGGGATACCGGCGGGGTACCGGTGGTAGCAACTATAAGTCTTGAGTTCTGGGGAGTTGCGATTCTTTCCGGTTGGATCGTCGTCAGTGGACTAAAGGCTGAGCAGGGTACCGCTAGTGGGAGGCCTAGTAGAGCCTTCGGGACCTTAAGCAGTAATGGAGCAATCTCGTAATCTCGATTGTTCACAAAGGACAAGCGTGCGCCATATTCTATCTACAGGTTATCACAGGCTGGAGAGCAATGTACACAGAATTTTTCGGATCCTGCCTGTGTGTATTGATCAGCAGCTGGCGTCGAAAACAGCATCTATCAAGCCAGGTACACGCGTTTTGGAAGAACGGAAGCTCCCCAGTACCTAGGTATTTTATCGTGGCCTATATAGCACGCCATCCATACGATTGGCTGTGGAGCCCTCGGGCGAAAGGCTTCAGGTGTCGTGTCTCTGAGATAGCGTTCGCCTCGGATGGCTAGTATAGGTGTCAGCAAATGAGACTCTTCACTGGATGGACCGTATTCTCCTCTCATTCCGAGTTAATCCCAAATGACCTTAGATTACCCCTGATTCTGGAGGCGCTGTTTCATCCCTTACATCCGGGTCCGGCAATGAGGAAAGTTAGCTTTGATTAAATAAAACTAAGGGTTCTTCGGACAAGAGGAACGTCGAACGAAGTCATGGTCTTGGTGTATTAGACGCTGGCCGAGAATTATATAACTTAGTTGAAGGAGAGGGAACATGTTCCAGGTGAATCCAGATATTCATTTTGCGTCTGGCCTCGGTTTCCGAATAAGTTTCGATCAGAAATTTATCGATCATGAATACCTATATGTTACTCGTGGCAACAGTCCTCGCCGTCTTCCCTTGGACTCATGGTGCCGCCCCTGCTCCGACTGTCACTATAGCCTCGCCTGCGGCTACGATAATCGGATTAGCTGGCGAGGTCGAAAAATTCCCAGGCATCCCCTTCGCTAAGCCTCCGCTTGGAAATCTCCGCTTCAAGCCCCCGGTGCCCTTAACCGAGCCTTATGGGGTATACGAGGCTACAAAGAACAGAAACATTTGCCCCCAGTTCATCGCCAGCACGACGGATGGAAATTCCCTTCTCCCTCAGTTCGTCGCCACTCTGATCAATAGCCCCATATTCCAGAAGCCGGTTCTCGCAGCCAGCGAAGACTGTCTTTACCTCAATATTCATCGACCAGTGGCCGCCAAAGAGGGTGACGATCTTCCTGTCCTTTTCTATATCTATGGTGGTGGTTTCCAACTCGGTTGGAATTCGATGTACGATGGAACACCATGGGTAAAGAAGTCTGTTGAGCTAGGCAAACCGATGATTGTGGTGACCGTCGCCTATAGAATAGGAGGATTTGGGTTCCTTCCTGGTCGAGAAATCCAAGAGGAAGGATCGTCCAACGCGGGGCTTCTAGATCAACGCCTGGGCCTGCAGTGGGTTGCAGACAATATTCGGGCGTTTGGAGGGGATCCTGCAAAAGTCACAATTTGGGGGGAATCTGCTGGGGCCTGGTCTGTCTTTGACCAAATGGCCCTATATTGGGGCAATAATACCCATAACGGAGAAGCCTTGTTCCGCGGAGCCATTATGAATTCAGGTTCATTCCTAGCAGCCGACGCAATAGACTGTCCGAAAGCTCAGGGGATCTACGACAAGGTTTGTTTCGCCTACCCCAGCGAATATCAGGTGAAGTTAATCAGACTACAGGTGGTCGACAGTGCGGGTTGCTCGGCGGCGGTAGATACGCTGCAGTGCCTTCGCAGCCTTGACTATACCACTCTTCTCGATGCCACGAGCTCCGTTCCAGCGATGCTAGGCTACCAATCCCTTGCGCTTTCCTACCTCCCTCGTCCTGACGGAGTCGTGCTGGCAGAATCGCCAGATCAGTTAGCTTTGATGAACAAGGTCGCCAATGTCCCTTACATTGCTGGTAGCCAAGAGGATGAAGGGACGCTCTTTGCGCTTTTCCAGTCCAATATTACTACGGAGAAACTGCTTGTGGACTACCTAGGCGACGTCTTCTTTCCAAACAGTTCTCAGCAAGTCCTCCAGGATTTCGTCTCACTGTATGCCAATATTAGCGAGGATGGCGCCCCTTTTCGCACCGGGAAATTGTGGAACATCTACCCTGAGTTCAAACGATTGGCCGCTGTCATCGGGGACCATGAGTTCTCTCTCAGCCGGCGCATCTTTCTGGAGGCATCGGAGTCAATGAGCCCAGATGTCTCAACCTGGTCATATATGAGTTCTTATGACCACGGAACACCGGTCCTGGGTACCTTCCACGGGAGCGATCTTCTCCAAGTCTTTTTCGGCATCCTACCAAATTATGCTTCGGACGCGTTCCACGCGTACTATATCTCGTTTGTCAATTCATTGGATCCAAATGACGGTAACGATGGTAAATATGGTTACTGGCCGCAGTGGGGTGATAGTCACCAACTGCTTAATATGTACGCTGATCACTCAGAGTTGATTCCTGACGACTTCCGCCGCGAGGCTGCAGCGTTTCTCAAGGACAATATTCGGGATTTCCGACTGTAAGTCGGATGTGCTTAAACCGAGCTCACCTCTGACCATAAATGGCCGAATAGGATAAATTTTCTTTTCCATTGCGCATCTTACACAGAACTTGGTTATTTACTTATCTTTATTCTGGAAACTGTATTTGGACATACTCCTAAACGAAACAATAATCGCTAAGACTATGTGCGTATTCATTACCAACCAGGCCAAAGCCGCATATGCCTATGTCCCACTCTCTACAATACTACTGCTCATACAGAAGGAAATGGCAGCAGGGAGCTCAGTGTGTATAGCCCCCCTCCCTGGGCGGCTTAAATAGTCTCTACCAACACATTGGATGGTTCAAGGAGATCTCCCACATATTGCGGATTATTGACCAGCCGACCCTGATGAAGGTTAGCAAGAGGCTTATGCAGGTGGTGCTTGCATGGTCATCTATATTGGGAGGTCTGCCCGACATCCTAATAGTCTTGTCGACTGGCAGATTGATTTCAACTTGGACCCAGATGACTTGGCCAGACCACGACTTAGGATTGACGCTAGTAGACATTGACAATACATCACAGACCGAAGTGAAATGAGAAGTAAAACTAATTTCTCTACTTTTGTACTGTAATGTGGTCTAGAGGTCCGGTGGAATGGATCGTAAGTCCAAGTCATGGAGAGCCTAGCTAATGCATATTAAAATTTTGAGGCTCAAGTATCAGCGGATACAGTAGTACAAGTGGTTATGCTTGTCCCTAGTGAATCTGTGTCCAATGATGTGGAGCTCACATACTGAAGCCCAAACATATTCATTCAGGGGCCCGAAGGGCCATGGCCCTTCGGCGTATAAGCGGAACCCTTGACCTGCGCCACACCAGTTGCCCCCTGAAGCCATCCCACACGGTCTTTAGTATAGAGCTCAAACCTGGGCTTCAGTTTCGTTTCGTGCAGTGTGAAGTCATCCACCGTTCCGGTACGCAGTATACTGTGCCCTGGAAACATTTCACTGATGCGATACATGAGTGAGCCACATGTGGAACAGAAACAATTTGTCATTGCCTTTCCGGATGCAATGGTCTTTGACTGGCTAAATAATTTGAGGTTTTCTTGGCCACGTATGTGTCTGAGATGTGAGTCCGCGACAATGAAATTGGTCGCAAACATGGATGCGGTAATTTTTCGGCAGTCCGTGCAGTGGCAGGTGAATGTGTCGATTAGGCCTGGGCCTTGGGTTGGCTGAGGTTCGTCCGTCTTGTGAGCGGGATATATTAGAACGGGTCAAATGTTTGGGAGGACTTACAAAAGCTAACTGCACTGCACCACAGTAGCATGTGGCAGTGGCTTGGCCGTCTTTTGACCAGCCATCATCGGCGCCACCGGCAACAGGTATGTACGGCTTGAAATTCTCTCTTGCGGCAGCCATGACTGGGCTTCTTCTTTAGGCGTTGGACAGATGCCTTGCGTATATATTTATGTCACTTGGAATTTGCTTTCGTAATTCATTCCATTGGAAATTAAAGAACAGGGTCCAGGCTCCCACTGCTCTCCCACTTGTCCGACCGGTTCGCCACCGGTCTCCCACCGGTCTCCCACCTACTTCACCTCAGTAGTAGTAAACATGCCATGGATGACGCAATTGGATTTCCAACGGGAGGGGAAACTCCCCTGTTGTTGCCGGATGCGTGGGGGCTTCGTACTGATTGATAATCAACTGTTTAATTTGACTAACGCAGATGTGCAAGTTGTTATATAACCTCCGCCTTAGACTGTACTGAGAGGCCATTGTATCTCAACTCAGTCAAACTCGAACGTCTGATACAGAGATCATGAAAGAGCTCATCAATTTGGCAGGGCCAACTGTGAAGTTCGTGGACAGCCCAATCCCTGAGCCTAATGATGACCAGGTCCTTATTAAAGTGGTCGTGTCTGGGTCCAATCCCAAGGACTGGAAAATTCCGGACCTTGCAGCTTCTGGACATACCATACCTGGTATGACGCCTGAGATCAGAAAAGGAGTGAACCAGGGGGATGATATAGCTGGAATTATCGAAAAGGTTGGGTCCAACGTTGTCGAATTTAAAGTGAGTTATTCAACCTATGTTTATATTAGTCTAAGTTAACTTCCTGTTAAGCCAGGCGATCGCGTTGCAGCATTCCACGAAATGTGTGCGCCCGGGGGCTCGTACGCCGAATACGCACTTGCATGGAGTCATACGACTTTCCATCTACCTAAGCACACCTCATTTGAAGGTGCGCGGAGACAATAAGTCATATACAGATCATATCTAAATAAGATTATAGAAGCCGCAACAATCCCTCTCGCCGCCCTGACTGCTGCTGTGTCCTTATACGGGCACCTTCGATTCCCACCACCGTGGAGACCTGCCATAACACCGATCCCGTTCATAGTTTACGGCGCAAGCACAACTGTCGGCTCCTACGCGATCAAATTGGCCTGCAACAGTAATATTCATCCCATCATTGCCATCGCAGGGAAGGGATCTCAATATGTGCGGGGCCTCCTCGATCAAAGCAAAGGAGACACAGTGATCGACTACCGCCACGGAGTGGAGGCAACAGTCAAGGAGATAAAGGACAGCCTCATACTTACTGGATATCCTGCTGTGCACTACGCACTTGACACGATTATCATTGCGCAAAGCGCGGAGGTCTTAAAACAGTCGATCGCTCCGGGCGGACAGGTTGATTTTGTATTGCCTAACGACCTCGACGTGTCACCTGCTGTGAAGTCAATTACTTCTGTGGGATCGGTGCACAAGCAACCTGGGTTTGACAACTATGAGGAACTAGGGTTTGTTTTCTCTCGGTATTTTACGAGGGCATTGTATAATAGCAGCCTCTCCGGTCATCCTTTTGAGGTCAGACCGCGAGGCCTTCAAGGTGTCGAAGAGGCGTTAAGAGACCTAAAGGCGGGAAAGGCAAGCGCTACGAAGTACGTTTTTCGTGTTGCAGATACCCCGGGGATTGCTTAATTGGGGAGCATTGGAGACATCTGCAGTAGAGCTTTGATCTTGGGTGACAACACAAAGACACAAACTCATTGTATCTTGTGAGTTGACACTTCTGTCGGTTGGGTTGAGTTACTGTCGCCAGTTTATAATAGTTACAGATCTAAAGAATGGAATCTGTCTCATTCTTGTTTCCAGTAATACTGGCCCTAAAACCCCTTCTTTTGCCAAATTTTTTGCAGTCTTGATACCACCTGTCTACCGGTTCACTGGCCGTTAGGGGGTTGCAGGCGTTTGGTACCAAGTTTACCGTAACTGGAAGCTTCATTTACCGGATTATATTGTTAAAATACCCCAACATTGTTTTATGATGCAAGATAAAGAATCAGAAGCAGAGATTTGGGATTTAGCATTTTCGGGGACATCTGTTTGGCAACAGTAGTTCGTTAAGGGCTAAACCCCTGAGAATAGGTTCGACCTATGTATTTGGTAAAGCTTATTCCCTATATTCCCTAGGGCTGAATCCACCGGACGTTGGCTGGGTTTCTGCACCCGCTGATTGGTCCATTTTGATATTCCAGGCGTGCTACTGCTACCCTCGGTGCGTGGCCCTAGGCCAGAGGGCTACGCCCAAGGCGCTCCTCCTATATATAGTTTGACTCAAATGTATATAGTATTGGATTACGCAAAAATCTTACATCGCGTTGTAGTCGCGTAATTACTCTACCCAAGAAGCCCCTGGAGACACTTAGTGCGATGGCCGCGGGTTCTAGGGAACGGTGATCAAGACACGCACCAGCGGACTGGAGCAGCACGAACACGAAATCCGGCCAATCAGCGGGCGAGTAAAATTGACCTAGGGCACGTTAACCTTGAACTTACCGTGATTATGGAGTACCAGCCGATGCCCGCTCCCTAGGAAAAGGACCGAATACAAGATCTTACGACCACCATGATATAGAGATCCTATTGGTCATTTGATCTGCGTATGATTAAGGCTACTGGGAGATACGCAAATTACTCGCGTCATCACCAGTGCCTCCCAGAGTGAGTAAAGTGTCGATGGTGGTGGTGGGAGGCCGGTGGGAGGCCGGTGGGAGAAGGCCGGTGGGAGAAGGCCGGTGGGTGGCCAAGAAGCTATTGCCACCCGTTCGAACACCCGTCTAAACTTCCGCAAGGCTCGCACTCCTATGCCATGTCATTTCTAGAGGGATTCTAGCTAATATAGCCAGTCTTAGTGATGGAAGGCTTCGGCAGCGAAATCGAGTTCTTTCAGAGTACCTCTGATCCTTCCCTGTACGGCGCATTCCCGTGTCAATTTCCTGGCTGCAATGCGAGGTACCGGCGCAAGGAGCATTTAAAGCGCCACGAAGATTCAAATCACGCCCAGCTGCAGGCTTTTGTCTGTTCCATCTGCGGTTCCCAGTATAGGCGAAGGTAACCACGTGCTTACACTTACTTTCTTTTTTCAGCACCAAAACTGACTATAGAACGTTGCAATTAGTGATACACTTCGACGCCATGTTCAAAGGCAGCACAAAATAACTGAGCCACGAGACCGCGCCCGCCGAGCTTGTGCCGGTTGTCATACCGGCAAAAGTCGGTGCGAAGGGGGCGTGCCATGTGAAGAGTGTGTCCGTCGCAATATTCCATGTTCTTTTCAAGATAAGGGTGGTGTAGCAGAACAGCAATATTTCAGAAACCAAACTCCACTTTCATCATCTCTGAATCAAGAACGGTCTCGAGAATTTTATTGGGAGAAGAGGAAGCAGTACGTTGATCGCTACTTTGAGGTATTCCACCCCCGTTGGCCTCTCATCCATAAAGGGACATTCAATTTACACCAAGAAACCCCACTACTTCTACAATCAATGGTGGCTATAGGTATGTGGACATCGAGGAAATTGCCTGCACAGTCTGCCGCAGTGGAGCTTCATGATAAACTCGATTGTGCTATTCGAGATCAACGGGTACGTCAGATCATTGACCTGTAATGCGCCCAATAGGCTGACGTGTAAGCCACAGGAAAAATGGGATGCCTCAGAAGCAGAGCGGGCATGCAGCAACTGCTTCTGGCCAATAGCGACATATCAGGCCATCCTCTTGCATATTATTTTCTCTGTTCTCGTAAGAAGCGGTGGTGGCGTCAACCTCGACCTCAAGGCATCTATTTCGGCCGAGAATTTAACATTACTCAAATCACTTGTTGGGAGCTGTCGAAGGCTGGGCATGTTCTCGTATCCGAACATGCTTGCCAAGTATAAGGAAACTGACCTGCCCTCTTTTGTCTGGGTGGGTGTTGAAGAGTTCAAGCGATTCAATATATCACTATATAAGCTTTGTGGGCGATTAAGCAGCGCAGACCCAAGAGATCAGCCTTTACTACCTGCCAGTGAACTTCAGTTCCCTCCGCCAAGCAATGATCCGTTGTGGAATTCCATTGAAAGAGAGGAGTGGGAAGCCTATGCGAAGGAGGAGAATATGGTTTCCTTGAACAACGAGTTTCGGGAGAAGTGGATTTCGAAGTGTGCAGACATGTTAGGATTTCTTGCTTCCTAGTTATGAATTGTGATGGTCACCAATGAGCCAGAAAACCGGCCGCTGATTGTATGCCAGTGGGAGACGTGGGAGGGGGCCCGCGAATATAATGTTCCTAATCCATTGAGGTACAGTAGTGTTAGATCCTTGGATCCATAAATTCAGCAATAATCTCGGGAATCTTGCAACATTCTCCTTCTTCTCTGGCTTACCAGCAATCCTGTTCCCCGATTTACCCCCGATGACAAGATGGAGTGCTTCATTATTAGCACCCCTCAGTAACGGGGTTGCAACTCCTTGTATGGATGTGGTAAAGCAAATGGTGAGGGCTTCGGCAGTAAGCAACGGACCCAAGAACGCGTTCAGAACACTTCCTTGTACAGTTTTACAGATGCAAATGAATCTTTTTACCAGGGCCGCAATTCGGAGCTCGATGGTGAACATGGACCCTCATAGAGAGGTGAAAAAGTATGGCTGAGTAAACTTCAAAACTGGAAGGGCATCTGTCCGGCTACTACCGCCGGGAACATTTTGTCGGACCCTCACGCGGAACATAGCTTTGTCTTTTGGAGCTATTATGACACGTTCTTTGACCTACCAATGCATTTTGGATGCAGCGCGCTCGTCGCGCATAACCCTCCTCAGCAGAAGGACAAGATATATTTTGGCGTTGATGCCCGCACTGACAGCGAATGCAGGATTACTCGACGGATCCTCACTTGATCTTTCATCGAATGCTAAATTCTGCCACTTTGCACCACTCTGGCACCAGGCGATGTCCGTACCCTAGAAGGGCTGAACAAGGACAATGTTTGGTTGTCAGGCCCTCTAAAGAAGCGTTACTTTCTCGGCAATATAGATGATCAACTTCAATCATGTCTACGTCCCATTTTCTCCATTTCTTGATTCAAATACTAATTTATATCGCAAATATCAATGGCCTGTATATGTATACACTCCATAGAGTGTCGAACTGCTCCGGTGAAAAGCGCTACTCAATCCCATTTTTCTTCGGCGCCATATTGAGGTCCTTGTCAAGGTAGGAAGTCCAAAAAGCCCAAAGTAGAACAATATTTCTCTAACATAATACGTAGCCTACTGAAGAATTCACGAAACCTGGAGTAGACGATGAATATCTTGATTAGACATCGCCATCATGCTGGTTGGTTTGGGCTTTCATTCTGTGAGCCCGCCCATGGGTCACCCAGGCTCGGTTTCGGCTGTCCTTAACCAGCCCATGAGTTACTCTTAAAATGAGAATCGGTTGATACTAGTTGAATAACTTCAGGAGTTATCTTTTACAAGGGCAGGATGCTTCATATACATACCTATATCTGTTCCCAACCCCTGCCGCAAGGCTCAGCGAGCATGATACTCAACCGGCCGGGTTCTCCGCGGGTACCCATGGGCTAAGGCGGGCTTCGGAAAGCTTTACCCGTACGAAGGATCATCCAGATGCAAGGGTCGTCCGGAGCCCCCAAGAATAAGAAGGGCATTCTGATTGAGTTAGGACATTGCCTAGCAGATATCCATTGCTATGCTGCACCACGCAGCAGGAAGGGGGCCCCGGAAAACATGTCCTTGAAGCAGGGCCTTACGTCTGTTTTCTTGGGTTAGCCTGGCCGCTGTACCTCTAGCCTATAAGCGCTTGGGCAGGCTAAGGTATGAAGAATCCGGTAGGTTAAAATGAAAGATTCCCTCAAGATGTATATAGTATATAGCCTCACGTCTGCCCTCTCAGGTAACGTTTTCGACTTTCCCCTGAATAACAAAAAATAAACCATCCCATTAAATCTATATGCCTCTCGACGCTACTCAGCTGGCTGGGGGTACTCGGCTGATTTGTAGGCACCAGCACACCTCCAACCAAGGGCTATCGGGGTTAGACGTCTCAGGATACTTCGTAACACTTGGGCTTTTGGCTCAAAACATTGAAATTTTGGATGCATTTCCTCGTTGGTTCTAGATGCTATACCTATCTCATCTGTTTTGCAGAGTCTAGGCACGAGATACGTTGAGTTGAGCGCCTTCGCGTTTTCCAGTAGCGCTCCAATCTATTCCCGGACTTCATTACAACTATATTAAATACGAGAAGTCCTCAACAGGGGTACTTTTCCAGGTATGGTGCGGACCCTTTCCCCAAGAGTCGGCCTCCAGAAGTATCTATTGAACCTTGCCGTAGATGACAACGTCGCAAACGGCAAGTATCAAGTCTGGCACCCAGTGAACGATTGAATCAAAAGCGTCAGAATGCTCACGCTCGTTTGCCACGAATATCCATCGATTTTTCAACACGAAACTATTATCTTTAGGAGTCTTTTTTTGGCAACTACTATGGAGTATGATGTTAATATCCGGGGGAAGAGGTAACCCAGCTTGAGAAATATGTTGGCTATTTGGTGCCTAATATGGTGGACAGTGTCCTCAGTTTCTACCGGCTTCACCACTGGAAAGCGTTGCAGTAGCTGACGGAGGGATAAGCGATGGTCTTGATGGCAGTGCGTGATGTAGATGCAGGCACGCTTCCGCCCCAAGGCAGTTGCCTCTATTCACCTGGATAAATATTGTATCGATTGATTTCTACTGCCGTATCGCAACAGGCACAGCTTCTTTTGCAGAGAAAATCGAAGTTTAGGTTTCTGGAGACCATGAGTGTTCTCCTGTTGAGACAGGTATGGACAGCTACCCTGCGCTCCGCAATCTTAGAAATGTGTCGTTATGGCGAAAAGAATATGCAAAAAATTAGAACGCAATTGGGGAAGGAGCGTGCGTGTTTAGGATGATAGTCTGTCCCCCTCTTGCGGCAAGGACGGTCAACAACAATATTTGACCTCGGCCTCGGACGTTATCACTAATTGAGATTTTCGGTATTGGGAGGGAGGCTTCTATGACGAATTTTCGGATCCGAACTTAGCATTTGGATCCGCTGCATTTCGGGAGGATTTCATTTTACTCCGCATTTGTATTTCTTACGGTAGGTAGAGGTGGGGGTAGAATTCGGAAAGGATCACTAATCATCAGCAACCGGTAGCAAGTATTTGCTTCTTCTCCTATCTCTCGTGAAGAGAGTAGGATGGTAAGGGAGTCACTTCTTATAATACAATCAAAGTACTCACCTACTGGAATTGCCTCATTACTTACCGCACATCGCTACACACTTCCCGAAAATTGCCTTAACTACCTAGCGGGGAGTAGGGAACATAGGAGTGTGGGACCTGTTGTACCTAGTGAATAAACTCAAAGAGTGGGCCATAACTAGGATAGTTAACTAACTCAAACAACCATCTTCCTTTGGATTAATAAACAACTCCGTCAGGCTCTTTGGATCGAAATATATTTGATTTGGATACTATTTCCGATTTGTCATCTTAAAGAAATCAACCGGTAGTTCTTTAAGATACATAAGTATATCATGCCGTATCCTACGCAATTTAGTCGGCAAGAGGACGTCTCGAACAATCCGACGCAGCAGGCAAACGTCATGGCAGCCTTGGATAAGATCGCCCCGATAGACCCTCGTATTGCTCGCTCCTTAGCAGAGATTAATGGCAAGACATATGGTACACTTCCTCGCTCCCTGGCTGTCCGTGATGACTGGACGGAATAATGTAACCACTGACAAATTGCAGGGTTTCTCTGTGCTATCCCTGAGGGCGGTTATGATAGAACAATCATCTTGGTATTTCTATTAACTCCATTTATTTTGAATTCTCAACTCCAATTCTGTATTTGCAGAATGGGATGGCACTCAGTGAGGCTTCAAATAACAAATTTTTCGATACGTCAGATCCACGGATTCCCTGATCTATCCTTCGGGTGGAGATACCAAATTCCGCTTTTCCTCGACCTGGGTTATCGGGTGGTTTGTCCAGACTGTATCGGATACGGACGATCTGTGAGTTTTATGGCAAAAGAAATGCTCAAGAAGGAGCCACGGCGGCTAGCTCACGCGCGTACGTTTAAAAAGGATGCCCCGACAGACTCAATCGGACCGTACACCTTTAAGAGCCTTGCAGATGATTTCGTCAGCCTCGCAAAACAACTTGGTTGTGTAAACATCATTGTCGGTGGACATGACTGGTAAGGCAGCAGATCAAGTCACAGTATCTGCGGGCTTATGCATCTGACCAGAGAATGTTCTATTAGGGGGTGCATGATCGCTTATCGAATGGCGACATGGCATCCTGACTTCGTGACACATATGTTTACAGCCTGCGTCCCATACCTCCTACCGAATGCGGAATGGGTCGAAATTGAGAGAATCGCTAAGATCTACCCGACATTTGGTTATCAATTACAGTTCGGAAGCGGAGTTATTGAGCAGGAAACTCAGACCAAGGAAGGAATCCGCAAATTCCTGAATTCAACGTATGACGGACGGACATCAGACAACCAGTCCGCCATTGATGCAACCATGGGTATTGATTTTGATCTCGTTGCTCAGCTAGAAAAAACGGCACTCTTAAGTGAAGAAGAACTTGAGTACTATGTGAACGAATTTGCTAGGAATGGACTCCATGGTGCATGTATGTGAGCTCACCTTTGCTCTTACAGGTTGGTTTCTGATCACATCTACAGGCAATTACTATCGGAACCATCGCCAGAACTTTTTGGACGATAGTTATTTCACCCGGCAGGGGGACAGTGACGCTGCAGTTATCAAATGCCCCACTCTATTCCTGTGTGCAACCGAGGATAAGTTTATCAGACCGGAGATGACCGAGGGTATCAAGAAGTCTATTTCGAACCTGACCTTCAAAAAAATCAATGCCAGCCATTGGATCTTGTGGGAAAAGCCGGGAGTAGTTAACGGAGTACTCAGAGAATGGTTTTGGCAGGAGGGCCTTGTTAGTAATAGCAAGGGAGCTTGAAGTTGCCTTCCAACCTGGGATTTTGGGTGACTAGTGCTGGAATCTCATGGCATTTTTGATATAAGAATTTACAAGGATATGATGTCTGTCAACAGAAATGGGTATGCTCATACACACCAATGCTTGTACACACCAAGGTCGAGACCATAAAACGAAGGAACGATGATCTAAAGTTTTTTGAACTATTTGTAATCTCTGCTACTTGAGTGCTCTCATTGGAATCCTTATCCTAAGGATACAGGGATCATCCGAGTTGCGACACTGATAACTTTCGATATCCAGATAACAACGACGGCTGAAGTGCACAATTCTTCTGGCAATGTGGCATTCTGATTGACAATATGTATTTCGGCGAACACAACGCCGAATACTAGGATGGTCGTTGCCGGAGATAGTTCTGTTGGAACAGGGCACCGAATTCGAGGTATCTGCGAAAGGGGTCGCATTTATGTTGTCTTGGAAATACTATTTGTCCCCAAATCAGCAGTAGTCCTGCTCACTCAAGAACACGCACAGACGATCATAAACCGGCCTCGAATAGAGAGTTTGATGTGCCACATCCAGTCAGTGAGACCGGTGGGAGGACGCCTAAAATTTCGGCGAAGCTAGCCTCCCTACTGGCTTAGTAGCGACTACTCCCGTCGTCGCTAGAGCTCATGACTACGAAAGGGCATCTCGTGCGCCGGCTGGCACGTGTGGTGCTCGCCTGGGAAGTAGCAGTACCTGATACAGGTCGCACGTCCGGAAACTTAGGAGAGGCTATATTCCCAATCCTGACCCATGGGCTACTGTCAGAGTATCTCAATGATGTATATTTCAGCAAGCGAAAAGTGACCCAGGCGATTCCTCATGGACACTGCCAGTGTATATGCGCTAACCGAAGTTTCAGCAGGGCGTCTAAGCCACAGCCTTGCGCGCTTTGAACTCATCGCTGAACTGGTAGTCGATATATCCCCTCGTGCTGCGTGGAGTATAGAAATGCTCTCTCTCATACTTCCGCAGCGGGATGCCGTACCTCAGTCGGAAAGGAAGGCCTGGGTTTGCAATCCACGGCCTTCCAATAGCCACCAGAACCTCGTAGTCCTTGTAGTGCGCATCAGCAGCCTCGCACGCAGACTCACCATCGTAGCCTCCCGCCACCATAACCGGGCTCGCTCGCCCATATGACTCGAAGAAGACATCCAGATTCCTGTGCGGGACCACATCCACGTCCACCACCCCGGCAACGCGCGCCTCAATGAGATGCACATATGCCAGCGTAAACTCGGCGGTCTTCCTCGCTAAATACCCGAATTGCTCCATCAGCTCGTCATCGCTATCTTGGGCCATACCCTGATAAGTGCTCCATGGGCTGCATCGAATGGCCGTTCGCTCGGCACCGATGGCTTGCACAACGGCTGTGATGACTTCCAAGGAAAATCATCCGCGATTCTCGACACTGCCAACCCACTTATCCCTTCTCTTGTTGACAGCAGCTTGAGTGAACTGGTCGACGAGGTATCCGTTTGCTCCGTGGATCTCTACCCCATCAAACCCTGCCGATGTAGCATTGCTGGCTGCGATCCGGAAGTCATTAATAACGTCCTTGATCACCTCCTCAGCCATTTCGCGTGGTATGAGCCCCGGATGATACTCCACCGCACTGGATGAGATAAGCTCTGCATCCACTCTAGCTGCCTCGCGAGTTGCTTCAATATCCGCCATGCGACCGATCGCCCATAGCGGTGCATAGATGTAGGATACCTTCCCGTGTACGGCGTCTGTGACCTTGCGCCACTGTGCGATCTGCTCGGGTGACCAGAGTCCGGGGACGTTCCGGTAAACGCCCGCCCGCGGCGAAATGACGATGGCTTCGGATATCAGAAGTGTACCGCGTATGCTGGCACGCTGCTCATAGTATTGTACGGCCATGTCGAGGGGGATGTGCCCGTCGCCGGCCCGGAAGGGGGTCAATGGTGGCAGAGTGATGCGGTGGGCGACTTCAACATTGCCCACCCTGAGAGGGTTGAAGAGTTTAGTCGTCGACATTGCGGCCATTCAAGTTGGGGCACGGTAGAGCTGTCGAGGAGTGGATAGACAGATGAGTTCGAAGGTGTGAGTTTCCTTCGCGCTATTCCGGGGTTCATAAACAGTTTGTTGCTTTAGTGCGTTTAGTCCCCGATAGGAGGCCGAATAGGATATCGTCATCAATGATTTGGTAATTGGTGGGTCTGCAGCTGCTATGGGGCGGTGAATTTGTGAGCAATCTAAGATGTATACTAATCGCATCAAAAAGTCTCCCAGAAAGCGTCGTCTGGTGGAGCCCAGTTTGTGTCGAGCGTTGGTTCCGTGAGATTGTCGCTACACTTGGCCCATTGGTGGCCTCTATCACCGACATTATAACGAACCAGGTGAGAGGGTTAATGTGGCTATTCCCATTCGTCTACATCAGTTTGAACTGCGGCCGAGCTGAATCTATACTACTCTGCATGAGAGAGTATTGTCCATTTGACCTCGCCTGAGTCCGCTACAATTATCCTGTAACCACACTGGAGATATAAACATCACGAACACGAAGAAAGTTCAATTGAGCTACGTTAGACCCAGGTACAACGTGATGACGAGTACCAAACTACGCTGGCAATTCAACCGACTCAGCTCAATGCGTCCTAGCTGTCCCTTTGAATATCCAGCAAAACATTGGAAATATATATCAAAACTAAGTGGAAGGCTCGCACAATCTGTACCCAAATTCCAACCAGTTTGTACACCTGACCGGTGACGTCTCACTCAACCAAGGGCACTTCTCCGTGCGCAGGCGCAACCCCAACCCAATACCATAGGGTTGAAACGATGAGGGTAATTCGCGACCATGGAAGAAAATACATCGGTCACAGTACGTGGATTTTTCTCCAGCACAGAAATAAAATCTCTGATATACTGCTTCGTTGATTCCAGGTGCCAAATACTGTCCATTTCGTCTGCTTTCCGATGACCCGGGACCACGTATACTAGGTCGAGGGCCTCGACTTTTTCAACAGCCCTGATCCATTCCTGCCGCTTTTCCGGGCTGTTTGCCTCCAAAAGCATTTGATGCACATCTCCGTACACAACGTCACCACACACAGCGAGTCTCAGGTCGGGAACCCAGAGAATCGTGGAGTCGAAGGTATCGGAGTGCCCGCATTCAACTGCCTCGAAAGTCCACCGGTTTTTCAGCACAAACTTGTTGTCTTTTGGAAGCGCCTTCGGCGGCTGCTGAGGAGTATAGAGCTGACCTCCAGGGAAGAATGCAACCCACGTCGACGAAAATTAGGGCTCAGATACCTGCTGCTCGATATGCCGCACCGTACCTTCAGTTGCGACCGAATGTGCCTCTGGAAAGCGCTGCAGCAGCAGGGGCAGACCTAGGAATTGATCCGCATGACCATGCGTGATATAAATGAAGGAAAGTTTGCGTCCTGGTGCAGTCGCCTCGATCCACTTGATCAACTCCTTGTTTTGGTTGATTGTGATTCCGGTATCGACGAGGACAGCCTCGTTTTCGGAGTATATCAAGGTGCAAGTCTCTGGGGACCATGTTGTGCCCTGTCGACGTGACACATGATCAACACAAGGCACCGGGGGCACTGTATGGACAGATACTCGCAAACCAGGCATCTTCAAATATTAAGAGGAGGCAGGACAGGAAGGAGAGGAAGTATAAGCTAGACGTTGTTTGCAGGCCATTGGAAGAGATTGGCATCTTTATGCCTTTCCCATGATGCTATATCTAAAGATGACGTCGATAGAATCTGTAATCGGATCTGATCACTCATCAAAGGAACCGCGTTGATAAGCAATTCTGAGGGGCCACCAGTTATCAAGAGTCAATTGGTAGGGCCTGCGGGGTTATTCTCCAAGATTGCTCGCTGATACTATCCCGCACAAAGTTACCAGGCACACGCCACCAGTAGTAGTAGGGAGGAGGCTTGGCAAGGGTTGTGGATTACTGATCATCGGGTGAGAAAGCCCCCTTCGGTTGTCGCCGTGACACGTTGCGAAGGGATCTTCATCATGATGTCTATGTATCATGCCACTTTCCAGTCCAACATTGGTTGCGCTCGGCATTGATGATTTTCACCCGACAATGCTGCATTTCCCTCGATATAGAATATTATCGTCTGAAGACTTCACGGCCAAAATACGTAGTATAAGACCTGGTGATGATATCAGCGGAACAGATTCGTTGTGCAAATGAGGAGCAGCTATCGTTTCCATCCATGATTATTTCCGTTTGTGTGTACCTCATAATAGATCATATAAAGGACGAATACTGGGTTGATCTCGAACGGAGGTCACTTCTGTCCATTAGAAATCAATGATACCTGGATACAGTTCAACCGCCGGAGATATTTACTCATCATTTCGGTTACACCAATGTCATGGTCTGATGGCGAGGCCTGTTTTCCAGAGCAAACAACGGTCTTCTCCCAATGCATATAAGCGCACTATCCCTGGGTCCAGGTTTCCGGCGTCGATACATGCCACGGCGATACATGATACATACTATAATCACTATACGACCATAAACCCTCGATCCCAGAAGGCTCTCACTGTTACTGAGGTGGGGAAGCCTCTCACTCTAACTACCGACTGGCCGATTCCTCGGCCGGGTGCATAGCAAGTGCAGGTTCGGGTTATTGTTGCTGGTCCGAACCCTCACGATCAGAAAGCTCGCGATGCCGGTTTATTCATTGCTGAAAACCTCCCCGACGTCCTCGGAAACGACGTGGTGGGTCAAATAGTGACTGTTGGTTCCGGCGTGACGGGCTTCTCTGTCGGGGACAAGGTCTTTGGACAGGCAGGTTTCTTGCCAGGGCGCTCTCAGAATGGATTCCAAAAGTATGCTGTCCTTGACGCGGATTACATTGCCCAGGTCCCGAATGGCTCCACCGTGGACGACGTTGCGTCTCTGCCGACAAACGTCCTTGCGCCTGTCATTGCCTTCTTCAGTCCTCGCTCCTGGGACTTCCCGCTCCTTGGACACCCGCGTCTGCAGCTGCTACCCCTGAAGGGGGAGCAATCTTAGTGCTGGGTGGTGGCAGCAACTGTGGGAAATTTGGTGTGCAACTCACTGTCCTGGCAGGATTTGAGCGTATCGTGGTTGTTGGTGGAAACGAGACAGAACTCAGGTCGTACGGGGCGACGCACGTAATGGACCGGTACGGGACCCCGAGCGAGACTGTTTCTCGCATACGCGAGATCGTGGGCGATGACCTACTCTATGCCTACGACGCTGTTAACCCTCCAGCCACTCAAATAATCAGAATCAACGCACTCTCGTCTACTCGCAAGGGCAAAGTGGCTCGGTTATTGCCTGCGGCCCCTATAGACGAGTCTCTCGTCGAAAACAAGAGCGCGCGCTACGAGCTCCTGGATGTTCTTGGTTCGTCGCATCTTCATGCCGAATTGTGCAGATCACTCTGGGAACAAGCACCGCGCTTGCTGCGGGAGGGGTAGATCAAGCCCCCTGCGTATAAGAGGGTGAATGGCTGGGATGCGGAAGAGGTGAACGGAGTCTTGGATGCATATAGGGATGGCAAGAAGATTACCAAAACACACTTTCATGTTTGGAATGGCGAAGGTTTCTGACTGTTATGATATTAGGTAGGTAGTTCCAGATTGGGTATTAAGAGTCACAGTACAAGACCCAATGGGTCCATTCTTAAGTCACATTCTTTCAAAAGCTGCTGTAGCCCAAGTGGCTATTTGGGCCGGCTTATTCAGGCCCCTACAAAAGTTCACCGACGTTTGAAATATTTAGAGGCTTCCTGCCGCCCGGAACTGGATCCGCTGGGACTCCTATGCTTCCCTCTAACCTCGCTGCCCACCAGGAACTCAACCGTGGACCCAACCCGACTCACTCCGCCGACTTCGAACACTTTCCTCCAACGAGTCGCTGGGACATTGGAGCAAAAGGCCTACTTCCCGCTTTCTGGGAAGGAGGGCTGGACGCCGAGTAGCATCGATAGTAAGTGCAAACGAAAAGACCGAGATTCCTGTCCCAAACGATAGTTGCTGCTAAGTAATATGGGCTCCAAAATAGTAAGTACCGGTCTCGGTGTCAGTCCAACATACTATTCTTGTTCTTTTGTCGGCTAGGGCCCCGACATCCGCGACAACGGTCTGAACCCAGGAGGTACGAACCACCACTGTTTAGATCTTTGAAGGGAGGTAGGCTGAAGGTTGCATACTGAACCCTAGCTCCGTAACGACTTTGCTACAGGCCATGTGGACCGATACAGCTTGTGCATATAGTGAAGAGGGGGTTACGATGAACATATCAATGGAGTGGAGAAATCGTGTGGAACCTCGGGGTTCCCAATATTAGTAGTAACCGATGCCATAGCGCTGCCGATATGGGATTGTATGGACAAAGTCGTCGTACCCTGATCGGATGTATGTCAGGCGCTGAAGCAAGAAATATTGAGATGGTCATCGACTGCGGCTGGTAAGATAGCTGCAGAAGCCATTAGCAGTCAGACAAGAGACTTCAGCCTTGGTCGACGGCAAACATGGTAGCACGTGTACTGCCTTCTGTTCTAATTGTGAGCAAGTGGAATGGAACGTCTCTGCCCCAGACAAACGGAAATCGGTCGCTGTTACGTATCGAATTGCACCGGCCTTCTTGTGTCAACACACGTTTCACACTGAATTCAGATACGCGTTTCCTCCTTGGCGATTGGGCCATTATCTAAAGGACTAGGCCACCACCAATGGGGACCCAACAGAGGTAGTAACCGTACCTCATGGATCCATGGCGGTGGGAATTGATACAGTCAGAATTCATGCGCCGACACACAGTTACGGTCGACCCTTTCTGGCGGGCAGCTTCGTACACCTGCTCAGCTCCGTTCCGCGTCCTAGAAGATGTACTGTTATGATTACCTGGCTTTATGAATGATTACCATCCAATACTCCCGTCCTTTTAACTCGAAGAACAGCAAGACGCTCAGCATCCTCACCATCTCGCGACATGAACAGAAATTATCCTAAATGAATGAGCGCAGGAATTAAAGTGGTTGACTGTGGTATACTCGACCCACATCTACCGTGATTCGAGCGTTGCTCGCGGCGTACTCCCCTAGCCACTTGAGTTCCGCCACGAAGTCGACCGTCGGACTGTCGCTGGATTCTTCTTTCTCGGACGTATCTGATAGAAGAACGCGCTCCATGATACCCGCGGTAATGGCCAGGCGTTTCGCGTCATCCGTCGAGAACGAGTCCTGTGGGTCTCGAACAACGTTGAGGAATACCGTGAGTAGTGCTGGTATCGCGGCAAAGATCAGGGACCTAGAGGCACATAGGTCTTGGTGAGGGAATGGTTCAAACATAGTATGGAGAAGTCACTGGACATACCACCTGACACAGCCGACCAGTGCGTATTCCGCCCGCTCTAGGTAGCCAAGGGTCGATTGACTGGCTTCGACCGCTAGAGCCAGGCTCGAGCTTAGGATTCTCTTTATTCTCTCCTATTTTGCTAAAGTGTTGCACCGAACGCCGGCCTGATGAATGGTAATCACGCAGAGGTAGTAGTTAAAGTGTAATATGGCTATACGCGGGCTTATATGGGGGTCCCGCCCTGTTGTAGCATAGGGCAACGTTGGACGCAAATGGGGGGGGATGGACAACCGCCACTCTTCCAAGGAGTCGTCCAGTTCCCGTATTGCCTTCAAGGGATCCGCATCAGATTTACCATCGGGCCCCACCGAGTACAGTCTGGAACACGCCTTCGACTTGATCAGGCTTAGGCGCAAGTCGATGGGAAACACTGGTCCCCGGTACGGATTAACATCCTTCTCTAGATCGGAGAACGCCCGGTCTGGGTAGCCCTGAGGCAATGCCAAATCACAGTTCTCATCGGGGATGATCGGAGGCCGCCTAGTGTGGAGGGAAATATTTTTATTGATTGTGTAGCAGACCTAGAAAATGTTGCGTAACTGTTGCTGGATTTTGTCCGCCTGTTTACCGTAGGAAGCTAGAATGAATAGTTGGCGAGAGGCAATCGACGTGAGATAATTAACACTTGGCAGCTTTCTATCAAATAGGTTATAAATTGCCTACAGCGCAGCCAAGGTGTCAGCATTGGTTTGACGGTTCAAGCATCGCAACAGAGGGTAGGAGCTTGCCAGCATAGTGATTGCCTGTGCCGTATCCAAACTCGCGGGCTCTTGCAGAACTTGGGATAGTAGAAGATGGCACCTGAGAGCCAGAGAACCATGGTCGATGGTCGGAAAAGGCGTTATCTTCAGGTGAGCTGCGACCGGTGCCACGCGAGCGACAAAAGCAATAAAAGCAAGCGTGCAGGTTCTGGGGCTAACTTGCGCCGTTCCCACCTCTGACCGTTCCGGCCAATACACTGCGCTAACCGTTTCCTCAAACAGGTCGGGATCGATGACAGGGAAGATCCGCATCATCGAGGATTTCTTATACGCATCGAGGTACAGGCGGACTGCCCACCAGTCCGGAAGTTCTACCTCCCTACTCGACGGACTCATCAACAGAGGATTCAGCTGTTGGTAATGCACGTCCCCGAAGGTCTCAAAGATGAGGGTCCAGGGTCCATCGAGGAAGGTGACGTAAGTCTACTCGATCCTGGGGGCCGATGATGCCGCACATCCTCACATCTTTGTCGTGCCCTGGATTCTAACCGGACCGTAGAAGCCGTCGAATGACGATGCCTCTTTTACTGCCATCATCCAGCGGCTTAGCCTCGAGAACGAGAAGCTCAAGAGTGAGATTGGTCGCCTTCAGCGGCATGCGCACACCATAACCCATACATATACCCATTGGGCAGCGCAATACCGGACGCTAGAGCAGGAGACTGCACAGCAAGAACGCTCTATAGCGAGCCTGCAAGAGAGACTACGTGTCGCAAGGGACGATATCTCGCAGGCGATTCGGGTGCTGCAGCGGCACCAGTCCACCCGTCCCCACTATAAAACCTCGGGAGGCACTGGCGCTGGAACAGCTCCTTTCTGCTGATAGCTTTACAGTGTGCGGCGGACGAGGAGACACAGCTCGAGTGATCTGACCACGGAGCAAAGGCGACGTTAGTGTCATACAAAACGCTCGTATAGATATCCAAATCCTACGCCGAGGGCGGTGCATGTCAAATAATGCGAGCAAACGTATTCTACGCTTTTAATGTACAACCCGGTATATCATATCAACCCCCGGCCAGCTTCATAGCTTCAGTGTCTATCGTATTGGACTCCGTCCCCATTGAGCCATCTGAGATTATGAAGCACTTTCTTGTTGGCGGCGATCGCCAGCCATCGCAGGCCCCCGATCGGCTGCGAGGCGAGGAATGGATTCTGGTGCCGAGATCAGGACCGTGTGCGGATGACGCTTTGGGAGGGGCACGGATCTTACCTTCAGCAAGTCATCCAGGGGCTCCGTTCGCAGGGCCGCGAGAACGGATCTGATCTCCGGCCCCCGAGAATGAGGTTCCTTCCATTTCTTCATCGTGGCCACGACATGGTCCATCAATTGTTCGACGAGCGCGGCAAGCGCGGTGAGCTTGAGCGTGTCGGCGTGCATATCTTCCTTCGGGATAGCACAGCTATCTTCCACACCTACTGAGCGACTAGGTCAGTCTAGGGACCGTCCGCATGAGCCCCGAGGAACGTACCAATCTTCACATGACCGTCCGCCGTTAGTAGGACGGTTGTCGGGCCCAGGGCCGCCAGCACGAGTCCTTGATTCTGGAGGAATCGGATCCCCTCCAGCACCTGCCAACGCGGTGAGCAGCTGCAAAGGGACACTGAGAGATCACCTACCGGTCGGATGATCTGGGTGATGTCAGCATCGGACAGGCGGAGATCGAAATTGAAGAGATCCTGCACTGACAACTCGACGGGCTCCCACACCAGAAAGCGGTGTTCATCCGCGTCGTACACGTCCAAGAGAATGAGGAAAGGTGGGATGCTGACATTGGTCGATGATCCGGATCCGCGACTCCGCAGACTGTCGATCCACCGTCAGGCGCTGGAGATGGACAACCCCCTTCCGGTGTGTGCGGTGTCGGGCCAGAGTGACATCTCGGCCACAAAAGACTTCTGCTCCCGCTTCATAGTGTTCCCAGGGGCTCTGGCTGTGGACTGGGCGGGAAGCCCCTTGTGCAGCATTCGCCCGTTTCCCCAGTCGGACGGACGGTTTGGAGCGATCGTTTGCCGGTGGAGCGGATGTCCGAGCTGGATCGGCCCAGATTGTGCGAGGGCGTTCCTTGCCGCGCATAGGGTTTGTCGACGTGCCACGGATGGGAACGAGACAAGAAAACAGACGAGTGGCGGGGATACGTCCAATGATGGCGGTGCAGTCGCGGGTTGACGAGGGATTTCTCTGGGCGCGTCGGTGAGGTGTACGCGGTCTATGCAGAAGGAATTGGCGCGAATTTATATCAGTACGGCGGCAGATTGGGGTCCGGTGGGCAATGCCACCGTTGCCGGGGGGTGTGAACACCTTTTCACCGCCACCGTGAATGGCTGGGTTTCAGTGTCTCTATGACGTTCAGAGTTCCTCTTTGACAACCGACAGGCTTACCTGCCGGTCGATCCACGCCATGATCTCATCCATGGCCTTTTTCGCACCGCTCGCCTCTTGATCTCGCCGTCGCCGTTTCAGCTGGTTCTCCGGCGGTACCTCGTACTCACTGACAAAACCCGGGGAGAGTGTCGCTTGCACCTCATCGAGCGGGTGTTCAAGGTGCCATTCGTAAATGTCTGCACCCTGGGCACCCCGCCGACGGCCGATCTCAAGAACGAAACCGCGTGCTGAGAGCCCGTCGAGGAATTCAACGGCACGCTGCCTCTCGTTCGGCACATTAATTGTCCTCTCCGGGTAGCCAGGCACCCTGACATGCACGCGAAGTTTCCACGAGGGTAGTTCAGTGCCCCAGATATCTATCCCCATGCCCAGGAACGGATCAAATTCGGCAAGATCTAGATGTGCGATATTGGAAAAATCCAGCGGAAACGATGGAGATAGGTTCTGTTGCTCGATAGTGTCTTCCGTAGTGATCGGGGCACTGTGGACTCCGCGACAAATGTGCTCACGGGTGGCGTCGAAACCCGACTCTCGGGGTGGCGGGTGGTGGGACTGCCGCGGATATCCTCGCTTAAATGACGGAAGAAATGTCGGATGAGCGTCGGTGTGACGCTCCGTAGTTCCCAGGTTTGCTCCAACGCCTCCTTGGAGAGGCCGCACCGGTCCGCGTCGATTGTGGGGGTAAATGGAATACCACGTCGCCTAGACACGGGCTCCTCCTCACTCCAGGCCTCGGGACTATTGGCTGGCGTCGGGACCCCGGCGGGGTCCATCGGGCGCTCCCCGAAATCGCCCAGAGATGGGATGTTAAAACCTTCACCGTCGGCCAGCCAGAAGAAGTGTTGCCAAAGCCTCGTCCGATCCACTGGTGCCGTGACGTCCGGGACGACTGATGCGGCCTCCTGGGTCCGGCGATCACGGGGCTGGCGGCGGGCGGTCCCTGTCATCTTCAGCCCGTATTGAAAGCTGAAGCGCCACAGCTCGCGCAGCCCTCGCCGTACTACGCGCTTACCATCGTCCAAGGGAAGGTGTCCGATCATGCGGTGCTGGCCCCCCAGTCGTTCATCGATGGACATCTTGGTGTGCGGGCTCGTGATGTGCAGGAGCGCTCGCATCGCGCGGCGGGCGACGGCCAGATATCGCAGGTCCGAAAAGAAAGTCTGCAGAGTGGGAATCGGGACGTCGATCGTCTGCAGTCGGTTCCAGAGGGCCTCTCGCTTCGTGCCGTCTTGAATCAATGGGAACAGGGTCCCGTCGTTCATCCGTTTCTGCAGAAAGTGCAGATCACCGTTCGAAATTTTCGGCGCGCGACACTGCAGCAGCTGAACGCTTTTGGCGTCCGCCCCAGCCGCAAGCGCCATTTCGCCGCCGAAGATCCTCGTGATGAAGGTGTGTCGGATGTGCTCGAGGTATGACAGGACTTCCTGGTGGCCATTTCGTCAGCTGCCGGGCTACCGCCATTCTATCCATCGAGCAGGTCGTCTACTTCGTCACATCTGAGGGCCACCAGCGTGTGGAGGACCCCGATCTGCATACCGGCCCAGAGTCCGGGAACCGGCAGCAGGGCATCAAATGCCTGGGGGAAGCTGCCGTGGCGCAAGAACGCTCGCAGGTATTTGTGCTTTTTGGTGGCCGGGTTATTCTGCAGGATCGCCCACCACTTGTTGGCTGCGGCTTGATCGGCTGGCTGGTCGAGTGCGCCTTCGTACAGCCGAATTTTGTAATAAATCAGCCCATCAGGCGGCTGTCGTTCGTTCCGGAACTGCTCTTGCAGAGATTGAACTAGGCGGGCCTGCAGTTGGCCCGGTGCAGGTTGGTCCGCCTCGGCTCCCCCGTGTTCCGGTCCTGGACATAGTCAGCCCGCGACTCACAGCGTGAATGTCCATTGTCAAACATCGCGGCGAGACTCACCTGGAGCCTCCACGTACACATCCACCACCCACCAGCGGTTCGGTGGGCTGAGCCACTTCCGCGCTGCTGAGATGAGGCTCTCATGTTTCACTGCACGAAGCACGGTATCCAGCGGGACGTCCAGGGCCCGAAAGGGACCACTGTCCGTCTCGTTGAAACGCACCCGGCGACCCCAGTCCGCAGCGCTGACCAGTACCGGTACATGGTAGTCGCGGTTGATCCGAAGGCAGCCCTGGATTTCCAAGATCCGCTCCAGTCGGATCGAGTTGCGGCCATCGCCCATGCAGTGGCTGAAACCGTGGTCAAACGAGAGGTAATCGAGCAAAACCCGAGCACTTCCTTGGTAGCGTTCCTTGCGGTACGCCTCCAGCAACTGCTCCTCCCGCTCCACGCGGGATTGGATTGATGGCATGGTGTAGATATGGCGGCTCCTAAGATCTTCTGCGGCCTCCGGTCGAGATAAATACGTCCTGCGCTGAGTCCGAATCTGGCGGCGACACCCGAAGCGGAGTAGGTCTCCAAGTTAATACAATTGATTCTTGAGGGGAGAGAAATGGATTATACGCCTTAAACGGTAGACGAACATAGCCATTGTGTATAGAGGGTCCAACCGGTGGCTGGAGCAGCTGAGACAACGGTCTTTTTCCGAATGGAGACGCTGGGCATGATACTGTGCACCTCAACATTCGCAGGACAGTTTGAAGTGCCCCGTGAGACGAACACAGATTTGTACCTTTGGTGGCCTGGTCATACGGGTCTACAGCAGGAAAAACGCTCCAGCCATGCTTTTTATGCGGACACGATCATCGGCCATCCCCGTGGGCTCTATCCAAGAGAGTACCGTATCAGAATATGTCATTCAGGCAGGTCGTCTGGTTCCTAGAGGCCCCCATAAAGACCTGGGTGGACAGTAGACCGAGCTTTTTAATCAAGTATCAGGTGCAACGACGGGGTCACACATATGATCCAGCTATCCACACGCCTGATTGAGGGTGCTTGGGTAAAGAGACGCGCTCCAGTGCCAGATATATAAACCTCCATATTGATCGAAACGCGGAATACTTCATCGTTCTCTCCTTGTTCAGAGCAGACTTACATTATCATCCGACTTCTTACAAAACACCTTGGTCATATGTACAGGCTGGCCTATGCTTGCCATCGCGTCCTTTGATATTGCAATCTCGGTTATTTAATTTCAATTCTATGGTGCTTATGTCTCCTCCACCCCTACTTTCCTTGCGTATGTATCCCACCCAATTGCGGCCGTACGTATCGACACGCTCCGAGCTCACGGGTAACTGGGCTGCCGTCGTTTTGGTCCACCCTCCAGCGCCTCCTGCATCGGAAGGAAGAGCAGCCCATATATTAGGTATGTGCGTTACCGCGCGGATAGACATTGCTGATGGTTCCCGAATGCATAGCTACACCCGACGATCCAGCGCATTTACCGATGTTTACAGTCGTCTTTGGAACACGTTCGAATAAGCATGGGCGGCCACGTGGGGATGCGCCGGCCCGCAGGTCTTGGCGGGGAAACACTGTCTGACTGGGCAAAAGGAAAAATGTGGGATGATCCGGGTCGCCCGGTTCCCGGGCTAGCCGACAATCCTTGTCTACTCCTCCCTGCACTCTGCCCTGTGTCGCGTGCCGGAGGGACTAATCGCATCATCTTTACGGCCATTAATGGAGGGTCGATTTCGATCGGCCGGAATGTATCGCATAGCCGGAAACTGGCAGGCACAACACATCGACAAGGTCAGTGATGCCCGGGGACTGCTGCGTTCTCTTCCGCACGCCGAACACTGATCCAGCGGTCTCCCTTGCACGGCAACAGGATATTCAGTACGCAGTGGTGAATATTGAGGGGTTGAATGATGGCGACGGTTGAGGCTGGGCTTCTAGGAGGTCCGTTCTCACCATGAAATGGAGATACCCGGGTGATGGCTGATCGGTTCCGCATAACACCATCAGGACAGCCCGGAGCATTAATCTTACCCCACGCCCTTTGCGCGATTTGACTGCCAACCCGGACGAATGCCCGCTTTGCATCACCGCAACGGCCAGTTCCCTCGACTGTCATTCACCGTCGGAATGATCGCTGCAGAAAGGATAAGATCGGCCCGAGCATATTCGTACCACGTGCTTCCAGATCGGAGCGGTTCCTAGCATGCGGAATGCGGTGAGTAAGCCTAGCGGATCGGCACGGGTGCGCTTCACATGGGTGCGGGTGGCTTGCCGCTTACCCGCGTTCTGGTGAGCTAAACTCCCACTGCGATGTCTTTCTGCTTGCCTGTTGCCCGGGCATATCGACGGGCAACAGGCATATCGACTGGTGCAACAGAACCACCCGGCTGATGGATTGTTCTCAGACAAGTGCCAATAGCATGCTTCAGTTATTACCGTCTAGAATCGGATGTCACGGTGGAGAAGCCCTGGGCAAATGATCAACCACGATGACCTGTCTCGTCAAAATCGAGCAATGATGTGGACTAATCTGGGAATAAGTATCTGCCCGGTACTTGCTTCATCAGAGACCACATGCTCGCACGGCCCAAGGTGGGTCTGCTGGATTCCATGGCTGATCCATCTCCTGTAGAGCGGCCACCCGAGGTGACTCCGATCAAATGGCAACAACCGCCTACCGCAGCACCTACCAAGGCCCGGATATCATATTCCTTCCAACCGGATACAGACGGAGAACGGCGGGATTTATAAGGGAGATGCATGGTGGAAGCTGTCCAACGTTGGTCCTGCCGTATCCACATTTCTCGACAGGTTCAATATGCGTACTCACGGGCATGGTTCGACCCATCCAGGACGATTTGGTGACTTTGGGGGACGCTACGCCGCGGAGAGCCAGATCGGCTTCCTCCAGGACTTGACGGCCGTCTTTTGCCACGCAACGTGCGATGCCCACTTCTGGAGCGAGTTCTGGGAGCTCGTCCCCCCCCCCCCCCCCCCGGCCTACCCCCCTACAGTATGCGGCAGGGCTGACGCGTGTCGGAGGCGAGGCTGCTATCTGGCTGAAGCGGGAGGATCTTCGCACCTTCGGGGGCCACAACGCATACAACCTCGTCGGACAAGCGTTGCTGGCCCGGCGGAACCGAATGTGGATGTAATGCGATCCGCGGCCACTGGGAAACACCTGCTGCCACGAGACGGTTCGATACGATTGCTGGAGTTCGGCTTCGCTGCGAGCCCGCTCCGCAAGCGACAATCGGCCGCGGCAGTTCTGTTGCGACCACTGGTGGATCTGACGCCAGGGCTTCCGCAGGAATTCGAGATTGGATGCAATAAAGCAGCACGACTCGGAGCCACGTTGGCAGAAATCCATTAGAATGACATGGGAGAATGGGCAGCGGCTCATCTAAGACCGTGGGAATTTGGATAGACAGACTGTCCTGCTCAATCTGGGGCCACTGTTGAACGGCCTGGACGATGGCGACGACGTCGCTATGGGGTAGTTGATGTTGCTTTTTAGATGATTCTCCAGCTCGACCGGTCGTACCCCATACTGACAATGCCGACAGAGAAGAATCTTTAGTCGCGGGAGTACGCCGAATAGCTCAGTTTCCATCTTAGGGAGTAAGAGTGGTAATTAAAAGATCTGGGGGGAGGGTATCCTACACCCTAAGAAAGATGTATATAAACACCCATGTAGGAGAGCGCGGACAGGTCTAATCGGACGGGCGGCACCCCACGAAAATCGGCCCTGATCACCCGCCGAATTTGCACCACCACCAAGCAACGTATAATGAAGGTACCGCGGTAAAAGAATATAGACTTAGAGTTAAATAGCCAATCTACCAACTGGCGTGATAATAAATTCGTAGCTGCGCTATTGCGCACGAGAGAGAGAATCTAAGCAAAACCGACTATGGCTAAACCTCAGAAAATTTCAGCCAATCAGCGGCCTTCCCGCGCTGGACCCTAGGCCGACCATGCCCTTGGTCATTCACTCCCCGATGTGTTAGGGAGTAGGGCTCGGAAGGCCGCTTGATATCTCATTCGGTTTCGAAATATCACAAACTATATCTTACTCCACACTATTTGACTGCCCCGATGTAGAGGATTAGATTACAACACTTTGCTGGCGGGAAGATTGCGATAAGTGGCCGTTAGCCGCCCAAGTGGCCACGCGGACGCTGAGGGCAATGCGGTATGTACGATTTCGCCATTGCGCATTTTAGCATGTTATGAGCTATATAAGTTGCCCCTGTCACTTGGAGCGGTCGAAAAGTGGACAACTCCACTCACTGCTCAGAATGCGCTGGAAGAGTCGTACTTCGTTGTAAGTCAGGTCCGCAAACTTACACTGGAAACAGCCAATCAACGCTAGATTGGTCGAGGATAGCCGCACAGTCTCGTCTGATGTTTCTGTATCCAGGGAAGCACTCTCGCGACTAGGTCTTCAAGGGCAAAGCGTCGTCTGGGTGCAAAACCACAGAATAAAACGTCCGATTCTAGTGCAGGTAAATGACTCTCTAAGGAGGGACGTTATACAGATGAACGACGTAACATATGCTAACTTCTGGGAGGCTAAACATATCATCATGTACCCTGTCGGAAGCACTCAATCACTTGCAGTCACCTCGGATAGCATAATCAAGTTTATCATGAAGCTCCACTGCCGCAGACTGTGCAGACGATTCCTTCTATGTCCGCATACCGATGGCCACCATTGATTGTAGAAGTAGCGGGGTTTCTCTGTGTAGATTGAGTGTCCCTTTATGGATGAAAGACCAACGTGGGTGGAATGCCTCAAAGTAATGATCAACATAATGCTTCCTCTTCTCCCAATAAAATTCCTGAGACCGTTCGTGTTTTGAGATGATGGAAGTGGAGTCCGGTTCCTGCAATGTTGCTGTTCTGTTTTGCCATCCTTATCTTGAAAAGAACATGGAATGTTGCGACGGACACACTCTTTACATGGCACGCCCCCTTCGCACCGACTTTTTCCGGTATGACAACCGGCGCAAGCTCGGCGCGCGCGGTCTAGCGGCTCGGTCGTTTTGTGCTGCCTTCGAATATGGCGTCGAATTGTATCACTAATTGTAACGTTCTATAGCCAGGTTGGTGTTAAAAAACTGTAGGTGTAAGCACGTGGGTACCTTCGTCTATATTGGGAACCACAGATGGGAACAGACAAAAGCCTGCAGCTGGGCGTGGTTTGATTCTTCGTGACGCTTTAAATGCTCCTTGCGCCGGTACCTCACATTGCAGCCAGATAATTGACACTGGAACGCGCCGTATTACTAGTGACCTTGCATAGCAATACGATGTCAATTCTATAGGTCCAGCAGTTCAGAACATGTCACAGATACACAGAGCTTTGGTAAACTGCATTTTTTTGATGAAAGTACTATGCTTTTAGCTTCTATGCATCTCACCATCAGTCGATATCGAAGTATTGCGTTCTATCAAAAGATCAAACATGAGATTAGGGTCACGAAACAAAAAAAAATAATAAGTAGATAAAGAATAAGAAGATAATTTCTGTCTGTCATCCAATATTCACCAGCGGGATATCACGCTCCATCCATGCAAATGCAGATCAAACATGACATTGCGGGATTGAACAAAGTGTCAAAGAAAAAAAAAGGGAATTGAAAAGAAAGAAAATATCCAAATGACATCCAAAAATAATCAAGCCTGCACACTCTTCTTGCTCTTTAACAGACCCTTAACACGGTCCACAATCAATCCAGCACCACCAAAGATGTATCCAAGACCGAATCCCCAACCTCTCACACGGACAGTGTAAATAAAGAAGTAAACCAAAGCCCAGTTAATAATAACAAAGGCGAGGAAAATACCAAAGCAGCGCCACTTGTCACCATCATGAACGTTCAAATTGGCCATATACTCCGAACCATCCTTATAAGGACAGTACTGGCAATCAGAAGTTGCATCGGGGTTGACAAGGTATCCGACCTTAGCAAGCTGGCTCACAAAGTCACCCGCATAAGCCTGACAACTCTGACCAGGTGGGGGATTGAAGTGCGTCGCTTCCTGGGAGGCACAGTCAACCTGGACATCCGGCAGAACAGCCGAGAGAACACCGCGCATCCACCAGGTCGTCGGGTTAACATAGTACATCCAGTACTTCCAGAAGACGGGGTAATTGGCGTACGGACGGACGATACCGTTGAACAAGCTGACCATGACGAAGAAGAAAGGGAGGACGTTCGAGATGACTGTGAAGGAAGGAGCGAAAGCACAGATCCATTGGCCCCATGATGCCTGGAAGAGAAAGAAGAGCATTGACATGAGGAAGACGTAGCCTGCTGTTGAGGAGTCTGTTGGAAAGCCGGCGGGGTAGTACCACAACAGCCAGTAGATGAGACCTGAGATGATGGCTGCGGGAATTTCGCAGACGACATTTGCAGTACAGAAAGCGACCCAGCCGTAGATTCTGGACGGGTATTCTCTTGCTTCCCAGAGAGCGCGGTTGATATAGAACTTGGGAACGATGGAGTTCAGGACGATGGGTGGGATTAGGATAATCAGGAAGACGGAGAACATGCGGCCTTGCATGGACGCCACTGTGTTAGGGAGCATCCAGAAGGTGAATCCGTTGAAGATACCGATGATGACGCTGACGAAGAGTTTGCCATAGTAGTAGGATGGGTCGCGCCAGTGATTCACGAAGAGACGCTTCGTGAGTTGGATTGTTTGGGTGTAGGTTGTCGCGGCGAATTCGTTTTGGGTGCCGTTTGATTGTTCGATAGGGAGCTTGCTGCGCTCTGTGCGGATGCGTTCGATTTCGGCCAGCATCTCGCGGTTCTGGTCTGAGGTGCGCCATTCTTCGTTCCAATCGACTTGTTTTCCGTTGCGTCGGGTTGCTTTGGCGGCTGTCTCGAGGATGAATTCGGCGACGTTCTTGGAGGGTGGGCACTGGAAACCACGGTCGCCGAAGTACTTGATCACGGCGGCGCCTTCCTTTCCGACAGGGCCGAAGTAGAAGGTGTTACCTCCGGGGTTGAGGGCGAGGATCATGTCGAATTGCTGGATAAGCATGGAAGAGGGCTGGTGAATGGTGCAGACAATAGCCTGACCCGCCTGGGAGAGCTTCTTGAGGAAGCGAACGATGGAGAAGGCAGCCTGACTGTCGAGACCACTAGTGGGCTCATCAAGGAAGAGAAGAAGACTGGGCTTGGCAGCAAGTTCGACACCAATAGTGACACGCTTCTTCTGCTCGACACTGAGAGAACCAATGATGGCATCCCGAATATCCTCAAGTTCCAAGAGGTTGACGATACGGTCGACGTATTCGATCTTCTCAGCATGGGGAGTTTCACGAGGCTGGCGGAGAATGGCAGAGAACTCGAAAGCCTCACGAACAGTCGCAGTCTGGTCGTGCAGATCCATCTGCTCACAGAAACCAGTACCACGCTGGAAGTCAGGTCCGAGGTTGTGGCCATCGACGAGCATGTCTCCAGTAACGACACCCGTCTTCTGGCGCTGGGCCAGAGTGTTCAGCAGAGTAGTCTTTCCGGCGCCGGAGGCACCCATCAAAGCAATCATGACACCGGGCTTAGCGTAACCGTTGATACCATTGAGAAGCTTGCGAGTTCCGTTTCCGTAAGGGACGGTGTATTCAACGTTCTCCCAGGTGAAGCAGCGCTCACTCTCGGACAGACGGTTGAAAGAGGCATCTTCACCAGAGGATCCCTTACCCTGAGCGAGAGCAGCATTGTCGGTAGCATTAGCGACCTTCTCCTCGTCGTTACTGTTGGGTGGAGCAGTGATGTTCTTAACACGCTTAGACTTCTTGAAGACCAACGCACCGCCACCACCACCACCAAAAGACAGGAACTCAGCAGCCCAGACAGTGACTAAAATGTAGAGAACAGTGAAGGCAATGATGACACCAAAGTTACGCCACATATGGTGACGCGTGAACTGGAAGTTAGTTGTCAAATACTGCGATCCATCAACAGAAGTGCTACCCAGAGTCGATCCAGTCAGGGCACAGCCTTGGTACTCCGGGCTAACATTAGGTCCCTGAGGAACCAACTGAGATGGGGCACACTGCATAGTACGGCCGGTGAACTCGTTCGTTAAGACCGACTCGTAACTGTACGAAATCGGGTTGACATAGAACAACCAACCGAACCAAATCGAATCCGCAATCAAGCTCTGCTTCGGGATCACATAACCGACAAATATAACCAGCAAGTTCAACCCAATACCAGCAAAACGAACGGCGTCATCGATAGTCGGTGACAAGGCAGCGAACATGCGGTAAAGCGAGGTGATGCAGATGGTAGTCGTATACACAAACAGGAAATAGATGAAGAACTTGGAAACATCAGCATCAAGACCGGTCATGAAGTAGACAATAATAGTAAACGGCACAACCATGCAGAAGATGGCGGGGAAATCAACAACCACACGGGCAATTGAGACAGCAGACGGACGGTAGAAAGCGTAATCCTTATGTCGAGCAACAATACCACGACCAGAAACAGCAGGCATAAGCTCAGTAAGCTGCAACCAACCCAGGAACAGAATCGAGAAGAAGAGAGCACCGCCACGAGAGAATGCACCGCTAGTATCGAGCGATTCACCGTAGAACAGGGACGAGACGATAAGACCGTTGGAGATAATGATGAAGTACTTGGTGTAGAGGGACGTCTTGTCACCCCACAACAGCCAGCACTCGCGCTGCACACAAGCCATAACCTGGCGCACGAGGGAGACGGTGTATGGCGACTTCTTGGAGACGGTCTTACTCTTCGATTGGGCCACGGTTGACTGGAAGCGGCGGGTATCCTCCTGTTGAGTATCCTGGAGACGCTTCTCATAGCTGGAGAAATCATCCTCAATGTACTTGTGAGAGCTGCTGTTCTTGAAGACTTTCTCGAGTTCCTCGGCGGTCTTGGGGGTGGATGCTTCACGGCCGGGCTGGAATTGGCGGGCGTTCGGGTCGCAAAGGGAAGTAAGGAAGTCAGCCGTGGTGGATTGATCCGGGCAGTGGAAGCCGAGGTCGACGAAATATTGGCGGGCTTCATTGGCGGGACCTTGGTAGAGCATGCGGCCAGCATCGAGGACCATCACCTTATCCATGAGCTCGTATATGCTCTCTCCAGCTTGGTAGAGGGTGACGAAGGTCGTGCGCTTGCTGACATCCGTCATGATGCGCAGGGACTTGGCATAGTCCAAAGCAGTGCTGGCGTCCAGACCACGGGTTGAGTTGTCCCAGCAGACGACCGACGATTTGGTGGCCAGGGTCTCGGCGATACTGACACGCTTGCGCTCACCGCCGGACACACCGCGCACATACTCGTTACCGACAAGTGTATTCTTGGTATGACTGATACCGAACATCTTCAACAAAGCATCAATGATAACAGGAATACTCTCACGGTCATGCTTGCGAGTCTTGTTGATAAGAGAGAACTTAAGAGTCTGCCACACAGTGAGAGAAGGGAAGTGCTGATCATCCTCAGGATTATAGTTGACCTCGCCACGGAAGTGCTTGTTCTGATCTTCAGACGAGAGGCCACCATAGCTGACCTCGCCTTCAATTCCAGCAAACGCAGCCCGGTCATTGGCGATAGCCTTGAGGAAAGTGGTACAACCCGCACCAGGACGACCCAGCACGAGCATCATCTCACCCTCCCGTACGGCACCAGTGAAATCATGAATCAAATCACGAACAGGAGGCTTCTTGCCGAAATGCAGCTGCGGCACGAATCGGCAGACAAGTTTATACAAATCCGGACCGAAAGTTCCCACCACGGCGTGGGGGAGGGTGCGCACGAACGACGCGCCAGTCTGCACGCCCTTGACGGTGAGGTTCTTGAAGACAACGCCGACCTTCTTGGCGGGTTCGCCGGCGGTGGTGCGGCGCTCCAGATGACCGCTGATGAGGAACTCGCCCAGATCGAAGTCCTCGGTTTCGATATCGCTTTCCTCCTCTTTGCCCTTCTCTTCGACGCGACGGCTAGTAAGTGACTGCAGGCGACAGCCGCTCTTGTTGGTTGACCGAGTGCGATGCAGACTAAGACGGGTCAGTTCGCGGCGCATTTCCTCCAGGTCTTCCATGGCGCCGCGGCGGGAGACGGGGTCGCCCTTTTCCTGCTCACCCCAGCGGCCATCTTCACTTGCAAAAGATGAGCTGAGGGAGGAGGTCGAAGTCAGTTTGATAGGTTCCGCAGTTTCGTTTTTGACCTGTTCGGTAGTGACGGCCTGTTCAGAGGATTCTTCGGCGGTTGCGGCGTTGTTTTGTCCATCGGGGGTAGAGTGATGCGCAAAAGACTCAGTGAGATAGTTCTGTCCATTCGAACTAGAGTGCTCCTGGTGAGAGTCCATGGCACGGAAATCGGCGTCCATGCGACTTCGGCTCTACTCAGGCAATCAATCGCAGATTAATGATATTAGGAATGCTGATTAGGGTATATACAGCGGAAACAGGGAAGGAAATAAGAAAAGGAGTGGAGAGTGGGTAGCAAGCAGTTCAGACAAAGTCCATGGACCAGGGTTGTTATATAAGGGCCATTTGCAATCGCCATTAACTCCGAGATCGATTTGTAAGACACCCATAAAAGACAAAGAAGACGCACATGTGGGCATTGGAACGGTGAAACCGTCGAAGCAGGGGGCAGATATAGGCAGTTGAAGCGTTCTCAGAGATATAGTGGGGTGCACGAGGAGTCAGGGTTAATCACTGCCGTCATAGAAGAACTTTCGCCGGAGTTAATCCCTTCCATAATCTCAGTGATTAGAAATCCTAAGATGGGACTACGAGTTCGAGCGAGTCGTAAGTAGCAGGATTACTAATAACCTCTTGCCGCCGTTCGGCATCGCAGTAATACTCTGTGCCATTTGCGAAATTCCGCCTCAAAGTCGTGTCCCGGATCTCTAAGCTCAAAAGCGGCGGGAGGACGCCGGTGGGAGGACGCGGTGGGAGGACGCCGGTGGGAGCTAAGAGCTATTGTCACCTGTTCGAATACCGTGCAAACCTCAGGAGGCCCACTCTCCCCCTTTGTCGTGTCCTTTCTGAAGAGACGCTAGCGGCCGATGGAAGCTCCGTCCTCCGAGCTAACGAACTCTCTGGTGAGAGCGAAATGCCAGTCTTCCAAACTCCACCTGGATAGAGTAATAAGGAGAAGAAAGAAAGAGAAAATGAAAAGAAAAAACTAAAAATTAAAAACCGGGCCTTGTGATTATCTTGAGTGAAGTCTGCAGAGAAATGTTCTGATTCGATCCGATCGGTTCTTTCGTGAGGGCTCAATGGTTTAATGTGGCTCATTCTCTCGTTATGTACGGAAGTAAGCTGTACCCTATTGATTATGCTCTCATCTTCCCGTGCTCAGTAATCCGGTAATCCTGGTAATGTCCGTTACGGGGTCTGGTACCAGGTGTATGAACCGTTTCGAACCTTTGAAAATCCCTCGAAAACTGGCTGGCATCCCAAGAAAGAAAAAAAAAAGGAACTCACAAATCCAGAATAATAATTAATCATTTTTATGTCCTTTTTGGTTTCTCGACTCAGATCCAAAGAAGACTAAAAAGGGCCCTCCCCTTCCTTCAGACTGTTTGGAGGTGAACTTTATTAGCGAGCGCGGAGCTCGATGTCGCAGGGTGGGAGAAATTCCCGAAATCGATCCTGGTGCACCTGGTCCAAGGCAGATTTGAAATCATCCAGGATGATGGTGTCGCTCAAGCACTTGAACACAAACGCAAACTAGCGAGCATCCGTGGATTAGCCACAGACTTTCCGATAGGTACCCACGTGGGCGTTACCTTCCAGAAAGGCTCGATGCCGGTGGGCAAATCCAAGTGAAAGGCGTCCAGAATGAGACATGTGTCGACGATGACAAACGCTATCGACAGACACAGAAAGAACAAGGTGAACCCAAACCGTGGGCTCGCCCGAACTAGCTGCCCCAGCTGACGCTTGTACCCCTGTTGGATCTTGTAGATCAGGAAGACGGTGGTGAAAATCCACCACGGATCTCTAATGGAGGCAGTGGGTCAGGCGATGTGGCATTCAAGGACAAGGGACGCGGGCGAGAGGGTAGTCGTACCGAAACAGCGGCTCGTATGGCCGGGTCCGCAGAAACAATGGGTCGCCGAAGTTGAAAAAGGCAAAGTTGGCGTAGATCTCTAGGACCCAGTAGGGCTGGGCGAGGAGCAAGGACCCCAAGTACAGCCGTGTGCCCCACTGAGTGAAGAACCCTCGCAGCTTCATCCAGGCGATCAGGTTGTGCAGCGACCAGGATACATTCAGGCCGATGGCGGTGATCGAGAGATACCAGCCATATCCAGGTTCATCGAGAAAGATAAATGTTCCATGGCCCATGGCCAGCAGCAGCTATCATTCTCGTTACTGTATCAGCTGTGTCCAGGACGTTCAGTGTGAAGGATGGTGTCTAAACGCACCTCCAATGCAATCAGCTTGTGTAGTAAGATGCCCTTTTTGATATTGGCCATAGTGATGGCGACCATAATGAGTAGCGAGCCGAACATATACCCCTGACCCCAAGCTTCCAGGACTAGGCTGTCGGGGGCCGTTGGACGCGTTGTGGAGGTGGGCGATGAAGCCATCAGGGCCGTAGAAAGATTTATCTCCTGATAGAAGTGCTGTCGGCGCCCGAGCCCGAGTCAGTGTGACACTTTTTTGGCGTCGTAGCCTGTCAATCCTATATTCCGTGAAACTGGGCCAATTTCGGGGGTTAGAAACCGGGCGCTTCGACCCAAGATGGGATCTATATGTGCGAGAGCCACGGCTGTGACAAGCGCGTCTCTTCTCGTACGGCCTCTGCGATTAAAGCCACGAATGGGGCCTCGGATCTGGTTGTAGGGAATGAGTGCGTGAGTCTAGACTCAAGAGGTCGTTCGGAATGCTCCGTCCCGCGGTCTCTCTCTCCCCAGGAGTGTTGCTAATGGTGGCCTGTATCCACCGGCCGAGGCTGAAATGCTCCATGGCAAACCATGGCGCCCTCTGGAAGCAGCTGGCTTCGAGCGGAGGGGTGAACCATTGTTTGGAAATGGTCTCTGCATCTGCCTCGGGACATAAGAAGGCCGCCACGCGCCCTTCAATACGGGAGCATCGATCCCCAACCATGTCGCACACTGGACGTCTGTCAAACGTGGCTACTCCGTCTCGGCCCAACACTCCAACCACTCCCCGGAGGGAGTCCGGGGCAGTCAGTCCTCAGACCGTGGAGGCCGAATCCGACTACACACCTCCGAAGAACGAATGCAACCGCGGACAAGACGGCCTCCCGGGAGACAGGTCGCTTCCTTCACTCGGCTTATTCAAGAGGTTGGGATTTGCGCCTCATAACCCGTGGGCTCTCAACCGCAAGCATCAATCTCGCTGGTGTGATTCTATCGGTCCCCAAGTCCCTAAGGCAATACTGCCATCCCCGCCATGCCAGCGAGACAGACGAGAGAGCTCGCCCTTGAATGGCATATCCTTTTTCCGGGAACCTTCATATAGTCCAATTGGAAGTGAAATTACATCTCGACGGAATGCGATGGCCCGTTTGTTGCCCAGCCCACTTCCTCAAGATGAGATCTATGACAAGTCTGGTCTCCATGCTGAAGTAGCCCATTGGTACAGCCTGTACGTCTGTATTCCCGACACTCCCTCGCCAACTGCTGCTAATGCTGTCAGGTTCCGACTCCAAATGTGGTCTCCCATTGCATCGATGATGGGAATGAACTGGGAGGAAGTCGAAGAGCTTGCGTGGCAAGTCGGAAAAGAAGGATTGCGTCAGCTTGCGTCCGGTTCCCCGCAAGCCTCCTAGAAGCTATGGCTTCATCAATTGTGTCGGGGCTGGCTAGAAGGGGGATAAAGGAGATATGAAGGCCACAGCTCAGTGGCATTTTATGGCTCTGTTGGGCACCATTCAGTGGCACCACAAGAGTCGAAGTTTATGTAATCGTGTCTGTTGATGAGGCTTATTGGATAATACAGCGATTGAAAGGGAGTGCATCGCATAGCTTTGAATATGGTCCATTAGCGCAGATACACCTTTCCTTCCGAGATCTTGTTCAGCCACTGCAATAACCCCCGTCATGCTCTTATCCTTGGCAAACTACATACCTTCTGCTTTGGCGCGAAGATTAAACTGAGGTTCGGTGGCTTTCTCTCCCATCTGAAACCCAAAGGGTAATACGTACTGCACAGCTGTGTGGTGAACCGTTCATGGATTGATTACTATCTGCGGGACGGCGAACACTCATACAGTAGAATAGGCGATTGACAAGTCTACAAATAGAGATATATCCCATCCATATGTAGCCTTGGTCCAACATCCCACGGATCGATAACGAATCGACAAGGCCTTTCTTCCCACATAGCTAACGATTCTGTGACCCCGGTGCAGGGGTATCGGCATAGGGGACAGGGCACAGAGATTGTGTGCGACTGCGATCCCTGTAGAGGCGGCTCACACTGTTTGTGAACGTATTGGGCAAAGCACTTTCGGTGGTACGGATGGCCGCAGGGAGCCCCGACTAGATCATTAGCGTCAGGTTCCATGCAGATAGCGCAGATAAAGCCGGCGGCCCGTTCGGAGGAATCGGATGAATGAGCTGGCGTCGATAAGCTTGCACGACTCTGCGCGACGCTCTTTTCGTCGTCGTCCAGCGGGATTGGCGAACCTAGTGCACTCGGCTCAGCAAAACCGCACCGACTTCCGTACAGAAGGGATTATCTTACTGTAACAGTCACCCATACGGATAGGTGGCTCGTCACCAGTGGGTTGATCAGCGTGTCTAGTGACGACCACTGCAAACTGCGCCGCGCCAGAAATGGCATAGCGGCGTCGAGTGGCTCGCGGCTGCTGTCGATGCGAAAGGGTCGGTGAGCCGGGGCTCATAATACGGTTCACAATTCCACGTCGGGCCGTGTCGTCTATCAGCAGTCAGTATATCCGTAGCCTTGAGGAAGACCTATTGAGTCTAACCAGAGGCACCAAAAAAGGCTCTCGTCCGGCGTGTTCTTGTCGGCATCTTGTGTGGATCGCAACGCAGCAAGAGGCCACCTAAGTCGAGGGCAGTGCGGTTTTGCGACAGGGACACCGGCTTTCCGCAAGGTTATTTAAGAGGCGAACGGACGCAAATGTATTATGGCCACTACAGTCCACCCACATTCCAAACGGATACTGTTCATGCCATGACTGGGATTTATATGCGGTACCGTGTACTGGATCCCCGATAGTGGACCGTTCACCAACTCCACTTCTCCTACTGTCAGCCTCTCCCACGGATCCGAGAGTCAACTTATCAAAGGGGGGATTCTCTATCACGCAGCAGACATAGTACACTTGGGGACATTTAGCTCGGCCGTGCGTACCTCCAGGATCAATTACTAGTAGGGGGTATGGGTAAACCGCTGGATACACCCTGACGATCAGCTTGGTACCAACAACATTACGTACATCTCAATCCCATTCTTCATACATCTTCAGAACATGGTAGAAGATCCTACAATGCAGTCCATTTCTGTGGCTCTGCGTTTGCCATCCCACTGGAGTAGTTGTTTCTCAATACACGTCACCGTGTTCGATAGCAAGAGCCATTCATAGTGAATAATCCACCCCAGGCCTTCTTTCACTCTACTAAACGCCGTGCTTAGACACCACCACAGCCAAGGCGGAAATCTGCATAATGACTAGGCTCCGCTGATCGTAATCTACCGCTTCAGCCGGCGCATCCAAATCGGCGGCACTGTTACAGCTGAACTGCTCCGAGGGAGTGAAACAGGGAGTAAACTAGCATGCGTGGCTCCCTATATCTCCCACGGACCGCCCGCCGAGTTCGCCCTGAACCCCAGCGCCAACACCATGGCTTCGCGGCGAAAACACGACTAGGAACGGTGGATGGTGAAGAACTTTCGGGAAAAGGTCAAGCGCCGCAAGGAGCGCATTATCAAGAGCTTTCACGAATTTGGTCTTCTCTCCGGCGCCAAGATGTACTTGCTCATCCAAGATGGCAACGGGGATATGACGGAATACCGGAACACGTCGGACCGGAAGTTCCCCCCGATATATAACCAACTGGTCAGTCACTGAGCGACTCCGGCGGTCTAGGTACGCTCTAACAGTTCCCAGCGGCGGCTATTCCCAACGGCCCAGCTTCTGACTCCAGAGAGCTTTGGAGCCATAAATGGCCAGGCCGAAACCCGTGTGTCGTCCAACCCGCCCAGCATGACCCCTTCCACTCGCGAATTGAATCTAGACTTGGACCTGTCGCAAGTGGGTCTCCTACATGATTGTGACTTGTTTCCGATGCCCTGTGAATCGACTGGGCTCCCAGGGCTGCCGTCGGAGTGGGATGCAGCAGATGCAGCCCATTTTCCTATGAACCCGGGCCACCCTGCATATGAGGATTCTTCCAATCGATTGGCGCTCGCAGCAGACGGATCGACGGGACCCACCGAATCCAGAGACTATACTGTACCTCTCATGTAGATTGGATGCTTATGTTTTGTGCCTCCGATGATCGTTGTCGTCTCAGTACACGAACCGGGGTGCGGAGTGATGTTGATTTAGTCATTGCTTGGCGGACGGCAGACTGCACTAGCGTACCACAAGTGATACGCTATCCAGTTACGGACTAGCGCCGGGTCTTCGACAGACCTACCATTGTCCATACAGGATCCTCATTTTATTGTTAACCTATTCTGGAAGACAGGTGAGCCAAGCTTTCTAGTCATTGTATAATCCGTGATCCGGTTCGTGATATGTCCTATCCCAGCGCTATCGTATGTTCGCACCATTACGTTTTTCCCCATGGTTCCCTTACTGTACAAATCACTTCCTAGCCAGATCCTAGAGCTCAGGCTATGGTTGGCACCGGATACTGTTTTGTATGGACACTTAGTCAACATTTAGGGGCAGCCGGTCCGGATTTGCGTGATCTATGGCAGGTAGAGACATTGACGCTTCAAGTGCTTTGGTCTCCGCTCGGCTATAGCCCACCGAGGCTAAGGCTGCATCCCACGAGCACAACTGCGCAGCACACCGCCCCGAGGCTGTACTTCCCTGCCGAACCCATTTCCACCGAGCTGATCATATGCGCTCCTTCGTCTTCCATGCCCCTAGCCGCGGACTGGGCGGAAAAGATAATCCCAATAGAAGTCAGGAATAACACTAAACATATAACGCTCAACAATCCCATCGTCAAACATTTCAGCCACCGTCGATGGGAAAATGTCAACCGACTCAGCAGCATGGTCGCTATTGCTATAACGACAGATACCGCCAGCCCAGTGGCAATTGTCTGGCATACTGTCTCGGTCACCGGCGTCACCACAGCGACCTCGATGTGCTGGAGTGGCTCAGTCACATGCGCCAAGACCTCTGGTGCAAGCTCAGGCATAGCTCGAGACAGATGAACCGGAAGAGGCTGGCACTCGCATCGATCGTGCTCGTGCTGGATACAGAACCGCCGCGTGCCTAGCGATAACTGGCGGGGGAGCCCCGTCTCAAAGTGTGGCCGTCCGGGTAGCTTGTCGGTGGCTGTTGGTACGGTGGATGCTGTACCACTGAGCACTTGAGAGACACTTTGCGTCTCATCCGTAATGATCGTGGTCCCCGTAGGCTCTGCGGCTCTCGTAACTGTCTCCACGACCTTAGGAATGTCAGGAGCGAACACGATCCCAGAGCGGGGCTGGAGGCGCTCGCGGGGTACCGTTAGATCCCATTGGAACTGCTAGGGTGTGAGCAGTGGCCGGACGGACAACCTTAGCTCTAAACGCCTGTCACACACCTCAAAGGTTACAATCCCCGCATCTTTCACGGAAGGCACTGTGAGTAACAAAACTGCCAGGATCATTACCGCAATCGACGCCGTCAGCAGGACGAGATAGATACCTGCCGCCACGCGACTTCGTGATCTGTCGTGTCGATGAGACCTAGGCACGGGAGCTAGACCTAACGCTGGGGCTCTCAGTAGACTTGGTCTCTCCCTCCTCGGTGTGATGGGCTGGTTCGAAACGACATGCACGGCGCGCCCATCACCCGCCATGTCGAGTGGTGTGATTCCGGCTGACTCTCGAAAGTAGAGTTATAGCAGGCTGACCGTTGGGACATAGCGGTGTTTTAGCAACAGATACAGCATTATGTCGTGCCTCTGCGGCACACCTAATGTACGCTCTCAGGTCGAGCATCGTGGAGTATCCCAAACAAACTTAATTCATCTTGGCTCCAGTGGATTGCTCTAGAAGGACTCAGGACTGTGGGCAACCTTAAGTTCCACCAACGTAGCGTATTACAGGTAGTACACTATCCCCTATTGAATCCTGACCGCATCGTTATTGGGGGCGGGCTTGGACCTGGACAATAAATACTCGCAACCAGTAAACTTTAATTCAGAACTATGTGCTACCCATGACCTACGCAAGAGCCAAGTAATTTCTGGCGCGAGATCCTGCAGTTTTCTGTCTGGTAGGCTGGACACTCTATCTATGAGGTATATTATGCTTTACGGCTGCCCTCTCTATCTCTTCGGCATTTTGACTTTCCCTACCGCAACAATTCTACACTCGTCCAACTCTCGCCACGATCCGTACAGCCCAATCGAATTGTTCATCAATATATTGAGCAAAAAGATGACCCCCGCAATTTCCAAGGTGCAAGCCGCTGTCCAAACGTCTCCGGCCGTGGATTCCAGGGTTCTGTGCAACTCTACCCGAGCAGAGTCTGAATCACAGGAACCGTCTGCTGTCGTCCAACAACGTCAGCATAGAGAGCCATTCCTTGCTTTTGCGGTTGGCATGATAGCTCTAGGGACCACTGTCTGGCACACTAGGGAGAACGATCATATACCACCACTTCTTTCCACGGAGACCTTCGTCGGCAATGCCGCGCTTTTGGCGTTTATGGCAGTGGCATGGGATCGCATGGTTATCTTCCCATCCAGGTATTCACATTACGGCCTACCTATGTTGGCGTGGGGCTCGCCGGCCCTGCTCTACGTCACTTACATATTGTGCTTGGCGGGATACGTTTGCTGGTACGACACCAGGGCGACCCATCCATTGGCGACCTATATCATGGTCTTGCAACTTGGGCTTTGGGTGGTGGTGACGGTGGGCTGGACCGTATCCACCATGTTTTGCTCGCTTTTGGATGACGACATGGACGGGCACGAGGAGCCTGGAAGGGCCTAATCGGATGTCTCATTCCGCACTTAGTGAGGGCCCATCACAATTGATGCCTGCACGCAGGTATCCATTGCGTCGGGAGTGGAGCGGTGTGTCAGGGCTGGTTCGGCATGGCCGCAGATGGGTGAGAGCAACCTGATGGTTTTCGCGTATTCTCGAAGCCTGAGGAGGGTTGCTGCAGCACAGTCATGGCCAGTGATCATCCGCAGTACTCTACAAGAACTATTGTTGTATTTCGTCCGACAGGAAACTCTCTGGTTCGGTAAACGATTTAGCTGGAACTATTCTACGTCAATGGCTGCATTGCAGGTCAATCCGCAAAGTGTGTGAGAACTCGTAGACTGTCGGACTGGTTTGCCTTTACGTATCGCATCTACCATCTGTCAATCCGTCATCTCGGAGAACTGCACTCAAAGCTGATGCCGACATGGAGCCAGCTAGGCACGTGTTGTAAAGGCCGAAGCTATCGTGAGCTGGCGGTCCTACTAGAGGTGAAGGTCGATCCCTCGACGTAACATCACCCATGGATATTGCTCCCTGCGGTGCGCAGAGAGAAGCCCACCAATCCTGGCCGTATTCCAGCGGACACGGACCCCCGCTTACTTAGGTCCATGTTGGAGACGTGAGGGGGGCTGTGGCCTGCTGGCTCTCCAGATGCATGTTGCACGAGGATGGCTGCCAGTGGTCGAAGAAAGCCCCTTCATCTCGAAAGCTTGTATGTCTGGTCTCCGGCAGAACATGGGGTATGAAAGTGTCCCAGGTCCATTGACTGTCGAAAGAAGGGAGTACCAGATTAGAGTCGACAATATGGGTAGTCATCATTTCTTCTGCTGGCGGGCCCTGCCAGTCGAGGACACCGTCGCGACAACTATCTAGACCGGGAGAGTCACCGAAGTGCACTTGTATGTCATCTGGACAAGCAGCAGATAACCCTCCCATGTCGTTCATTCGATCAGCTAGGCGCATGCTGCAAGGAGAAAGGGCTTTATCTAAAGCGCGGATTTCAGGTACTGGGCCCGACCGGTCCCGCTCCGCCTGTGCTCCTTCAAATAGATTGTCCCAAGGTAGAGCAGCACAGTCCATCGGTGAGTCATTCGCCAAGGCTGGACGATGCGGAGGTCCGGGATCAGAGCACGCCACCATACCCTGACACGTTTCCTCCACGCTTCCGATTATGGTCGGGTCATCGAAGGCATGGAGGGATGCGGAAACAAGCCGGTCCGCGAAGTTGGCCGAGCTTCGGGCTGCTTCCACTGTTGCTTCCGGGGTGTGTTCTGCTTTCGCATCACGTAGTGTGCACGGCTCTTTGGGAGAGGGCCTTCGGCACTCGTAGACGCAAGAACGCCGATACCCTGCACATGGCACGCATGGCTCTCCCCCTCCACACTGGCTCACGTAAGCAGTTGCAAATGTAGAAGGTCGGGATTGGGTGGCGTATAACAGTGGACATGGCCTTTGGAGAGCTTACTTTGATCTTGCGTCGGCGACATTCACCACATGCCACCCGCGTTCTCCGCCGCTGTTCCCTTTGTCGCGTCCACTGGGCGGAGTACTCGTTAACTTTAATCCACCAAAGGGGGTGAAGCTGCTGGAGGTTGCTAAGCTCACCTTCGGCGGTCGCTGGCCGGACTGTGACTTTTTAAGCCGCGATGATAGTCGGCGCGTGTTCACCATAGTGCTGCTACTAGATTAGGAGTAGATGTCCCTAGGCAGACCGCACCGGTTCGGTTTGCGGCAATCTTTCTCTAAAGTGAGCTCTGGGATATATTCACATCGTCCTTCAGGCAGGCTATTCATATTTGTACCGTAACGTGTGGTCCATCCGTCCAACATCTCATTTCTTGGGGCACAGCATTCCAGCTCTTGCATGCTGTCACAATGGTATTCCAATAGCGAGAGTTATGGTCATGTCAGTGCTGTACACTTGTTTGCGAAAGCAGTGTCACCCCCCAGGATTATTTCTTTCTTCCCCAGACCTTATGCCAAGGACGCACTAACACGTAATAGGATAGCTAGAGGGTTCAATGCACCCAATTTGTTATTGTGTATCTTTTGATACTGTATTAAATATGATGTCACACTGGAGCTTTGTATTGCCTCATACGCGTGACCTGCAAACTAGTGCAAACCGTAGAACAACCAAAAGCTAGCTTCCCCGCTGAGGCAAACCATCAACACCTTGCCTGTTCCATATTGCCCCTGGCATCGATGCACATGCCCCGGGTTGTACAGAATACAGCAGCACTAATCGGGCGGTGCATTGTAACACTAATGACTTTTCTTATCATACTATTCGGCTTGTCAGGAACCAGTCTCCTTTCATGTTGGCCGCTCCCCGCTGGTTTGAGAGCTAACGCCAGATGTCAATTCTAGGATCCTCGGTGGCATCTTTTGCCTGGAGGACAAGAGCCCTGATTCGTTGAATAACGACATTGCCACTCAAATCAGCAGATGGGAGCGAAGTCCTTCGTATGTCCCCACCCCTGGTAACTTCGGCCACGAGCAAACGCCATCCGTATCTTGCCCCTCTCCCGCCTACTCGTACGGTGACCGATCCTCCTCCTCACATCGACCGACGTCAGACCGCCTTGGCTTTCTTGAGGATACCGAGCTGAACCAGCGAGATACCACTCAGGCAGATACTTTCGAGTCAATAAAGTATCTGATCGAGTGGAAGGTGACCCTCAATAATCGGTTTCTGGCAAAGGACACCGAACAAGATCTGGCCTACAAGCCCAATGCCTACTGGCAAAAGATCAAGGAGAAGGCCGAACGTATTGTGCAACGGAAGAAACCTCGTAACCAACGAGTCCGGTTAGATGATACGATCGTGACTGTTACACCAAGGTCCGAAACCAGTTTCCGCCCCGGAGACAAGAACTTATTTCCAGACCCTAGCGCCAGGGCACTGATATATAATAGATTTATATATTTAGATCTTTATGATGTCATATAAGGCACGCCCTTGTTCTTATTCTGGTATTGTTCTGTAATGTATTTAGCGAGGTGTAATCGATATATAATATCAGACAGAACTCGATAGAAGGTTCTTTTTTGCCAGGCGGTGAGGGCACTGGCGGGTTGGCAAGAGTGAGAGCTTGCTCAGTATCCTGCATCCCTCTCCTACATCTTGTAGTTAGGGCTGCAGGAGGAGTAAAGATCGCCAGTCAAGTTTTGACAGGTTAGACTTTATTGGTACACCCTAGTTCAAAAAAAGGTCCTGAGACGAGCGTATCTATAAACCCTAATACAGAGGCACCAATTAACACACGAATCTGAACCCGGTGATATGTCAAACTGATATGTTGGCTATGCAGATAGGTCCAATTGACCACTAGAAACTGGCACCTTGGCGTTGGGTTTTTGAACAAGCTCCTCTGTGGGGCCGAGAGGACGTTTCAACAGCGCGTGTATCTCTTCGGGCTAGTGAATTTCTAGTGAACCTCGCGCTAGAGCTACTACACTAGCAGATTGCGCAGCTTAGGCGGATCCCCAGGTTCAGCGTTGGAGCCGGCCTATACTCCAGGGTGTCCTACTCTGAGGTGCATACTTGCTCCCCAATCATTCCTTCTCCAGTGGGTAGCTACCCGCTCGTTCTCGTTCGACGGAGATATCCCGCAGGTAGACATGTCCCGGAATAGAAAATTAGTTGTCAGCCGCGTCCAGTCTCTTATAGTATTTTCGTGTACCGTATAAAGAGATTTCTTGGTTTGCTTCAGATAGGGATAACTATTGGGTGCGGCCCTGGGTTCGAAATAACGCCCCGAGAGTGCCTGCCAAGAATTTTTTGGGGAACAGTAGCGGTCAAGATCTAGCGTCAGAGCCATTCTGAAGGCCACCGTTACAGTTTTCCGCTTGATGATAGATCAATTTGAATCACTATACTTAGAGATAAGAAACCTCATAATATCCATAGCCTCCTTACGATTTTCGGCTTTGTTCTCGCGGTGCACAGCAAAAAAATTCAGGATATAATACCTATTAGTCTTGTTAGCTCGCAATGAAGTGAGCGAGAAATCAAAACTTACAGCCTATAGAGACAAACGCGATCACGCCATTCCTCCTTGGGCTCCGCCTTAGGAACCAAGCTGTGATACTCCTGCCAGAAATCTGTACCATAAGAGTCTGAATAAATGCTCATCATACCCAGATCATACTCCGAGTGGCCATAGACGCATGAGGGATCATAGACAACCTCTTCAAGATCACCGCTCCCGGCCATAATACCGTGCGAGGTGTTATAGAAATGCAGGTCGCCATGGACGATTACGGGGATGATGCTCCCAGCGATGATGTCGTTACCAAGAAGACGTGTGACGACGGCGGTGGCGGTCTTCTCGACCGCCAGCGCTAGCTCCGGGTCGGATCCATTTGCTAGCATGCACACGTGCAGGATTGCCCGCAGGCGATTGTCAGCGTAGAATTCAGCCCACGATGACTTCCATGAGTTGTCCTGCACAGTGGCACCGCAGAAGGTCGGCACAGGGAAGCCAAACATGGGAATATCGTAACCTTCAGGGACAGGAGCCTGTGTGCGGTGCATGCGAGCGAGTTTACGTGCCAAGTTCCTAGCAGAGGGAGGGTTCTTGGGCGGCAGGCAGGTGTCGAGAAACTCGATGGCGAGGAAAAATCCGCCCGAGGCGCGCAGGGGACCGTGGGCGTAAGATTTGGGGCAGAGATTGGGTACGACAGACGAGATCATGTTTAAGGAGGTATGCTCCCCTGTAGAGTACGGGAGTAGGTAAGCTAGATCATGTCTTGTGATAAAATCTCCTTGTAAAAGCTAACCTTTGAACATGATATCTGCATCTTTGTTGCTGCTTGTCTTGACGAAGTAGTGGAACTCCTGCCCACCGACTGTGGATGACAGCTTAAACGTATTTGCGATGTTTGATTCACCGTGGGGGACCATGGTGGTGGATTGACCGGGAAGGCCTAGAGTGTCGAGAATAGCAGGGTCGACAAGCTGGGCTTGGGCTATTGGAGTCTCAGGTGCCGCATTACAGAATCCGCTGGTGACAACCAAGAAAATACGTCTCAAGCTTGCTCGCTGAGTTATCCCAGCCCAAAGGACAAACGTAACGACGGTGGCAGGAATGGTAAAGACAAAGTAGAGAACGAACTTGTCTGGGCTACTCCAGGCAAGGGAGGGAATAGCGAAAAACGTGGCAAAGAAGGTGGCTGGCAAGAACGCCATGGTAAGCACAGCAACAGTCTTCATAGATGATCCGTCCCGACGGGCAGCTGCTGCAAGCTCCCGGCTCGCCATGGCACTTGCGTTACTCGCCTTAGCATGTCCGTCACTCGCCTTGGCATGCTCGTGGCTCAAAAGGTTGAAGAGCTTTGGTTTTAATTGGTTGTCAGCGCTTACTATCATTCTCTCACACGATGTACCTAAGCGAATGTTAGACTCACTACAGATGTTTGACTGCGAACGCGTTGTTCCAGAAATTGGGCTTGTATTCGAGTATTTGCCAGCTCCTGCTGAAAAACTTCGATTGCCGAAATAATCGTCTTGTCGATAGCGTGGACTTTGTCACAACCGCTCACAGCTAGGAGCTCCCCTGAGAGCTCTTTGTGATGTTCCCAGACAGACTCAATGATATTCGCGTGCCTGTGGATATTGCAAATGACATTAAGGGACGTCCCGAGCGTCCCAGTGAGTTGCTCAATGTCTTCAATAGTGAGCTTGGAGATAGGGACCCAAGATCCGTGGCCTGTTTTTGACTCAATGCCTCTGATAGTCTTGAGACAAATTTGAAGGGTGAGCTCACACCATCGGAGAGAGTCAATGGTGAAGATGAATGGAGCATAAAGCATAGAGGGGGAATAAATCTTGGAATGTTCGAAGTCATCAAGGATGTGTCCTTGAAGTTCATATGGCCATATCTTGGCAGTGTTGTAGAAGTAAACACAGTTAGTTGAAAATAGTGATCCAACGTGGCGTGTAGTCCAGATAGCGGTTCCGAAAGTCGTCGCAAGATGGAAAGATGGACCGCACGAGTCAGATGTGGAAGGTAAATGGTGGTAGCCGTACATGTCTGTTTCGATCAAGTGCTCGAACCACGGATCTGCCCCTATGCCCTCTATGATGTCTTTCAGGACGACTTTCCACATATACATGGGAACACAGACTAGGTTCAAGTTGGCTGCATCGGATGGGGAGCGAGTGCCTCCCAAATTGCGACGAAAGAACGAGCGGATATCGGCCCGACGGAGCCCAGCGGTATTGGACTCCCAGCCAGTTTCTGTCATCGAAATACGTAGAGCTGGAAAATTATGCCCGTTGTTCGTGAGCGAGTTCAGTCTAAGCGACGGGGGTCGGGTTGGTGTTCGAAACACATCCATCGCTGAAAGCCTTAACAAGGTTCTTTCTTATTCGGACTCGAAATAACACTATGCAATAATAAATTAGAGAGTTCAGGTGCAGAGTTAGAAAGCCTTTATAGGATGTAGAGGTAAATGGCCGGTTGGCTACTCCACAAACGCTTATGGTTTCAATGGCGTTGCCCCAGCATCAAGGGGGTTTGCCTAGGTCTCCCGCACACCTGACGACGAATGCCTGCATGACAGCACATGATGTCTCTGCGGACCTGACAACAGATACTCAAAAGTAGTAGATAGTGCGAATGAAACGATTGGCTAGCCAAGAAGCTTTCTCCACATCAAGCGTCCGGAGAGTCTGACACGGAATTGAGGGTGACGCGGCTACTGCGCCTTGTGCCCTGAAACAAAATAGGGTGTAAAGCGACGCAGAGTTAAGTGAAATTAGCTCACACCCGTCTCATGCCCAATAGGCAGGTCAATAACACGAGGCTGTGCATGATGAGTGAGCAGAGCGTGTTGGAGTAATAAGCAATATCATAGTACCAATGGACTGTCAGATTTTGACTGGCTATCTGGAGACGACTCCTCCTGCAGCTCTAACTGTAAGATGTGGGAGAGGAATGGAGGAAAGAGAGGAAGCTCCCACCCATTGTCAGCTTGCCTGGCCAGGGGCCTCACCGCCTGACAGATGGAATCTTCCATTAAGTTCCATCTCCCCGTGTATTTCTATTATACCGTGCAAGGCACATTACACGACAGATACCATGATGATACAAAAAGCGTGTGTCTCTTATGACATTACGGATCTAAATATAAACTCCTATTGAAGATTAGCGCCTTGGCGCTAGGGTCTGAAAATAAGCTCATGTCTACGGGGCGGAAACTGGTTTCAGACCTTGGTGTACTGTAGATCACCGTTCACAACATGACCTTACTAAATATTTTGAAGGAACCGATGTTGATTGGACTGACATAGAGGCACAACTTCTACGGTGGGCCAACCTATGTCGTCAGGGCAAAAAGCTCAGGCTTTTAGTCTCCATCAACTATATAGAGGATGATACCTCATCCTCATCGAGAACCGACAAGAGAGGCAAAACATCCACAACTAACGGTATGCTCCGTGACCTTCATCTCCAGTTGGCTGCCGAGGACTCTTCTGGCCAGGCTCCAGTTTGGCGGGATGCGTACATGAAGGGCAGTACTGTTGGTTGGATCCTGTAAGCAAAAGGCATTACAAAATGCGAACCCACCACATGAAGGCTTTTGTCAAAAATATTGAGGAAGAGGATATCCTAGAAACCCACGGCGATGTCCCCGATTCAATCCGGGACCAACTGTTCGCGGAAGAGCATCATCGAGTAGGTAAACAACAGAAACCTGTCGACCCCCCCGCTGGATTGATGTGTCCTCCGATCAACATTAATCTTGGTCCGGCCCAGTCACCCCAGTTGCCAAAAACCGCCTATGGTCGTGCGGAGACAAACATCTCAGGCCCAACTGACCTGGAAATCCCTGGGCCAATCGAAGAAACCGTGGAAGAATACACCAACTGGCACCTAGAACAGGTGAACACAGAGAACTTCAAGGAGAACATACGAAGAGCACGGGATATAGTGCTGGAAAACTGTCTTGATCTTGGTCAGCTCCATGATCGTAATATCGGCGCGGAATTTCTGGTGAAAGAGGACGTGAAAATAGGGGTCGCGTACAGGTTTGTCAGCGATACAAGCAAGTGGCTTAAACAGCGCAAACGAAAGATGGCGGTAAACAATAACGCTGTTTAAAGTATCTTTAGTTAGATTAATTATGATGTATGGTACAATCATTCCATATAACCCGGTTCGGGCCGAGAAACGACCGACGACAAGCACCCAATTGGCCAGTCATAGCTTTTGCAGTCTATGAAAAAGTATAATTAGTCATAGGGTCTTATGCGGTGCATGGGCCTTCACAGCCTCAACAGGGGGAGAAGACATACCCCGCTTTTACTTGCTAGAAACGTCTAACATAACTTCGAACCCCTATTCTTGCTCTTAGTCCGCTATCGTACTCGTCTGCGAGATAATCCGATCTTTATAGTGTGTCTGTCAACATGGATGGTCTATCCTCGGCGGCGAGCGTTATCGCCGTCATTCAACTGACCGGAAGCCTCGTGAAGCTTTGCGGAGGCTATATCCAAGAGGTACGAAATGCAGCCGAAGAAATTCTCACCCTGCAGCGGACAATTGCAGGTCTTCAAGATACACTCCAAGACCTGCAGAAAAATCTGCAAGAGAATAAGGCAAATGGCCTATCCACGTCCTCACGGCTACCCATCGAAATTACTGCTTGCCTCTCCGATCTCCAAGCATTAGAAGCGAGACTCGATCCAGGAACGGGGAAGAGCCTAATGAAGAAAATGGGCTTACGAGCCTTGAAATGGCCCTTGACCCGCACGGAGGTGCAGGGTCTAATACAGAACCTGGAGAGATATAAATCCTCATTCCTCTTATCTTTACAGGTGGACCAGACGTACGTACGACGAGGATAATTCTCTGACGCTGTATAATTGACTGAAAGACCATATAGCTCCCTGATGATCAGTATGGCTAAAAATACGGATCGGATTAATCAACATGTTGATCTTGGAAAGTTGGAAGGCGCAGTTGATGCAGGGTTCGAGTCATTCTCCGATCGTGACGAAGTCGAATGTCTTCAAGGCACAAGAACCGAGCTCCTTCGAGAAATAACGGAGTGGGCTTTTTCGCCATCCTCGAAAAGTATTTTCTGGTTGCAGGGGATGGCGGGGACAGGAAAATCCACCATCTCTCGGACGGTGGCAAGGTCGGCCAAGAATCGTAATCACCTGGGTGCCAGCTTCTTTTTTAAGAGAGGCGAGGCGGACCGAGGAAGCGCAAAGAAATTTTTCCCGACATTATCCAGACAACTGATACTGTGGGACCCAGAGTTACAACCTGGCGTGAAAAAGGCACTTAACGATGACCCAGACATAGCGTCGAAATCGCTCAGGGAGCAATTCGAAAAACTCCTCCTTCAACCGTTGCTCGGTCTTGACCAACGCGATCAATTGCCCCAGAATACTGTGATTGTTATAGATGCTTTGGATGAATGTGAGCACGACCAAGATATTCGAAATATTATTCGATTGCTCCCTCGTCTGCAGGAGGTCAAATCACTTTGCCTTCGTGTCTTTCTGACCAGCAGACCAGAGCTCCCCATCAGCCTTGGGTTTTCAGAGATCGGGAACCATGTATACCAGGACTTGGCTCTCCATGAGATACCCGAAGAGGTGACGGAAACCGACATACAGTTATTCCTACGACATCGATTTACGGAGATCCGGCATGATAGAAAAGTCCCTCAGGATTGGCCTGGCGACAATATTATACAACAATTGGTTGAGATATCCGTTCCGCTGTTTATTTCGGCTGCCACTGTGTGTCGCTACGTCGAGAATCCAAACTGGGAACCTAAATTCCGTCTCGCAGAGCTTCTCAAGGACCAAGCCAAATATGTGTCCAAAATGGACAAGACATATCTGCCAATTCTCACGCGGCTCCTCGATGACCATGAGAGTGATGAGAGTGAAAAACAGCAACTTCTACAAGAGTTTCAGGATATTGTGGGAGTTATTATCCTTCTTGCTGTTCCGCTTTCTATAAACACACTATCTCCGTTTCTTGGAAGAGAAAGGGACCAGATCAGCAATCGATTGGATTCCTTTCGATCGGTTCTTAGCATCCCCAGCGACGATAATCAGCCTGTTAGAACTCTGCATCTCTCATTTCCGGAATTCTTAGGCCAGACTACATCCAAATTTCGTGTGGATGCGCCAACCAAACATAAAGACATTGCAGAATCCTGCCTGAGGACTATGGGGCATCGTCTACGGAGAGATATCTGCAAACTGGCAGATCCTGGGGCGCGTAGGGCAGAGATCGACCCTCTGCATATCCATAAATCTCTACCCTCGGAATTGCAATACTCCTGTCGCTACTGGACGCATCATCTCAAAAATAGCCACGCTTTATCTTCTGACATAGAAGAGGTGCAGCTGTTCCTCCAGAAACATTTTCTTCATTGGATGGAAGCGATGAGTCTGCTAGGTCTTATATCGGACATGACGGGTATGCTCGACATTCTCCTAACAATGGTGACAGTAAGTACCTAATACGCGGTTATTCCCGAGTCATACTAATAAGAATAGGACCAGGACGTTAATCCTAGTCTGGCCGCCTTTCTACATGATGCAAAGCGGTTTGTCCTAAAAAATCGACAGATAGTCGATGAAGCGCCGCTTCAAACATATTATGCAGGGTTGATATTTGCGCCTCGAACGGCAATAATTCGCGAGCAGTTCCAATCAGAGCTTCCTGATTGGATTACCCGCTTCCCACAAGTTCACGAGAACTGGAGTGCAGAGCTGCAGACGCTTGAGGGCCATACAAGCTCGGTTCAGTCCGTGGCATTCTCCCCCGATGGCCGGCTGCTGGCGTCCGGCTCGCATGATAAGACTGTACGGCTCTGGGATCCGGCCACGGGCGCTCTCCAGCAGACGCTCAAGGGCCATACAAGCTCGGTTCAGTCCGTAGCCTTCTCACCCGATGGCCGGCTGTTGACGTCCGGCTCGAGCGATAAGACTGTACGGGTCTGGGATCCGGCCACGGGCTCTTCCCAGCAGACGCTCGAGGGCCATACAAACTGGGTTCTGTCGGTGGCCTTCTCCCCCGATGGCCGGCTGCTGGCGTCCGCCTCGGACGATAAGACTATACGGGTCTGGGATCCGGTCACGGGCGCCCTCCAGCAGACGCTCAAGGGCCATACAAACTCAGTTCTGTCGGTGACCTTCTCACCCGATGGCCGGCTGTTGACGTCTGGCTCGAGCGATAAGACTATACGGGTCTGGGATCCGGCCACGGGCGCTCTCCAGCAGACGCTCAATGGCCATACAAGCTGGATTCAGTCCGCGGCTTTCTCCCCCGATGGCCGGCTGCTGGCGTCCGGCTCGGACGACAAGACTATACGGGTCTGGGATCCGGCCACGGGCGCTCTCCAGCAGACGCTCAAGGGCTATACAAAATCAGTTCTGTCGGTGACCTTCTCCCCCGATGGCCGGCTACTGGCGTCTGGCTCGAACGATAAGACTATACGGGTCTGGGATCCGGCCACGGGCGCTCTCCAGCAGACGCTCAATGGCCATACAAGCTGGATTCAGTCCGTGGCTTTCTCCCCCGATGGTCGGCTGTTGGCGTCCGGCTCGAGCGATGAGACTATACGGATCTGGGATCCGGCCACGGCCACCCTTCAGCAGACGCTCAAGGGCCATACAAAATCAGTTCTGTCGGTGACCTTCTCCCCCGATGGCCGGCTGTTGGCGTCCGGCTCGTACGATAAGACTATACGGGTCTGGGATCCGGCCACGGGAGCCCTCCAGCAGACGCTTAAAGGCCGTATAGATTCGGTTAGGTCCGTAACCTTCTCACCCGATGGCCGGCTATTGGCGTCCGGCTCGAGCGATGAGACTATACGGGTCTGGGATCCGGCTATAGGCTCCCTCCAGCGGACGCTCAAGGGCCATACAAAATCAGTTCTGTCGGTGACCTTCTCACCCGATGGCCGGCTACTGGCGTCTGGCTCGAGCGATAAGACTATACGGGTCTGGGATCCGGCCACGGGAGCCCTCCAGCAGACGCTTAAAGGCCGTATAGATTCGGTTAGGTCCGTAACCTTCTCACCCGATGGCCGGCTATTGGCGTCCGGCTCGACCTATACCGCCCTTCAGCGGACGCTCAAGGGCCATACAAGCTGGATTCCGTCCCTGGCCTTCTCACCTGATGGCCGGCTACTGGCGTCCGGCTCGAGCGATAAGACTATACGGGTCTGGGATCCGGCCACGGGAGCCCTCCAGCAGACGCTCGAGGGCCATATAGATTCGGTTAGGTCCGTAACCTTCTCACCCGATGGCCGGCTATTGGCGTCCGGCTCGAGCGATAAAACTGTACGGGTCTGGGATCCGGCCACGGGAGCCCTCCAGCAGACGCTCAAGGGCCATATAGATTCGGTTAGGTCGGTGACCTTCTCACCCGATGGCCGGCTGCTGGCGTCCGGCTCGTACGATGAGACTATACGGGTCTGGGATCCGGCCACGGGCGTTCTGAAGGAAATCTTGAGCACTGATGGTGCTGTCACGTTGGTCGAATTTTCGCAAGACAGCTCCTATCTCGCCACTAACCTAGGATCGTTCAAGATCCAATTCCCCTGTGGCCAGTATATCGCCGATTCACCGAATATGGACCCGCACATATCTCTACAGAGAGAATGGATAGCTGTAAATGGGCAACGCGCCATATGGCTCCCTCCCGAAGCTAGGTTTTCTTGTTCAGCGGCCAGGGCGAACAGACTCGCCTTAGGACATCCGTCAGGTCGGGTTTCCTTTTTCGAGTTTCGGAAATAACAAATATCAAAGAATTTTCGTTTTCCGAATTCCGTATATTTTCAAGTATCTTTACAAAAGAAGGGCCTGGGAGACAGACAGAATTTATTTAAGGGTATATCTTTCAAGAAGATGCTACTCGTTTCTAGTTCCAATACGGTGGCGAATCCATAGGGTCTCGTCGCCACGGTTCGAGCTGCTGAGTCAGACGTGTTCTCCAGCACACAGCGCCCAAGGCTTTCCAAACCATCAATTTGATCATACCAGTCTATAATTGGATAAATTTGAAGGAAGACTTGTAGCTTAAGTTGCCCTCTAATCCGCACTAATTTTCCCCACTAGCGCCTTGACAGTGGGGCCGAGAGTAAAGAGGAGAGAGCGTGGTGAAGCTGGATTTGGACTTGACGGTACTTATTCAAGACTGAGAGTTAATATATTTGTGGACATCCTAGACTCGAACCACCAACAACGAATTTGCATATACTTCGTCATTCTATATCTTGACATGTTGGGGTTCTACGCTCCTATATGGATACAGTACTGGGGATCTATAACTGAGGCCCAATATCTTAGCTGTGAAGCGAAGACGCGATACGGGAAATGGAGTATATACATCCAGGAACGTCTGGCTGCTCGGTACCATGATCTCAAGATAGATAAATGACATGATATTGAGTAATATATCCTAGAAGAGCCAGAAGCTTTGCCCAAATACAGTATACGTCATCTAATTGCCTTACCCCCAATCTCCTTCCCCTTCCCTTCCGGGGGAGATGACAAGTCAATAGTCGATGGTCAGGCCTTCTTGATTGTTCGTTTGTCACAATTGGCAGCCTCAGCCATTTGTGGTGCACTAAGCCCACTGCTCGTCATCATATCAAATGTCATCTCTCTAGTGGATTGTGCGAGTCGTGGCGCCATCTTGGTGGCGGTTTGGTGGTTGACGGATGATTGACATGATCAGCCGGGAGGATCATCAGGCAAGGAAGGTTCAGGGGTTTGGCAACGTGACCCAAGTAAATTTCCTGTACACATGGAACATGTAATATTACGATCTTCTCAATCATGTGATTTTAGTACAATGCGATACGCTACTTTAAATAGATATTGGAGGGTGCTGACCAAAGGGGTAAAGCGCTTTCTTGGCAGAGAGTCTGGAAGACAAAGAATCGATCTTTGGGGGTGACACTGCTTTCGCACACAACTGTATCTGCAGGGTTCCGAAATGCACGTTCTACAGGTAGAGGAGACTCTTCGGTCCGTTGGCATTACGTCCAATGGAATGCAGGTAAGCGTCTGTCCCCAACCGGAAGTACAGGGGGCATTGCGCCCAAAATTCGGTTCCCGAGGACACAAGGCTGAGGGGCTTTGCTGTACAATGTCCTGTACTCCCAGGACTGAGGTTACTGCCCTAACTGTTCATTCACCTGAATGGACAGTCCTATCGGGAGTGCGAGAGCTTGTGTGAGGTGAATTTGGGCAAAGCGAAAACTTTGAAAGCGGCTGGACACACACATGGCTAGGGTATCACGGGTGATACGCTAATCCTATCATGGTAAGTGGCGCAGATCCGGCCAACCGCATGTCCCTATCGGCCTCCAATAATAGATAGAGTTGTTCCAGAGGGACGGGCCGGAGAAACACCCCCGGAAAAGCAAACCTTGGCAAACTACTCACGCCTTCTGTCCTATCGTTCCATCTCCCGGTTGATAGAGGCCGCGGGGCCTCCTGCCATGTAGCCACTGTATCTTCCTCGGTTGCATCATGTCAATTGTCGTCCTACTAAGTCTCTGCCTTATCACCGCATCTCCGTGGGTCTCTTTCTATATGCCGAACTTTGTTACCAGAGTCTGCACTCTCCGTGGACGCCGCAGATGCAGTGATGCAGTCCCCATCACCGATCGCACATCAAGGGGATGCCGGTTTCGAGGGCACTACGAGTCATGATGCCATGACAGGGATAGAGGAATGCGGCGTACAGTCTACCCCAATAGTAGCGAGGCCAGCCATGCTGAGCTGCACGGTTCCGTGGGATGCGAGCTCCCGATCATTACTTAAAATGAGTAGATAATAGTGGTTGATCGACAAATACCAGAGGCCCGAAATAGGCTACGGTCTTTCAACAATAGCGGGGCGTAATTGTTCTCCGTAGTGTCAGTGTTCGTACTGATATGGCAGGAGCCACAAACTTTCAACTTTGATGGGACGACTAAGACCCTAGTTGAGGGCGTTTATGTAAGTTCAAACTAGGTCGATCATACCCATGGTTCTTACCGACAAGTTCTAGGACATATCGTGCACATGACACTGACGGTCTGAATGGAGCTTGGGATAGTCTGGGCCAACTCTGTCCCACCATCCGCCTAGCCTCAAGAGATCCGTTACGTCTTCAGAATTAATGACCAGAGAGCTAGTTAGAGTAGTTTCGAACATTACAGATGGTACGGGTTGTTGCATAGGGTTCGATGCAAACAATATTCCGACTCCCGTCGGTTGCGCGTTTGACGAGCTACATCAAGTGAAGTGTGCGCTTCGCTCAGAGGTTTCAAGTCCTGCAGTGTGCCATCGCCATCGACCCGCTTCCGAAGTTCTTGGGCCAAGCACTACGGGGCAGTCCCTACAGGCTAGCATGGGTTGCTCCAAAACAGCGCAGTAGATGGTATCTAGAAGAGTACCACGGTTCAGTTCGCAAAGGTAGCCACCAAGGAGTGGACATGAAGACTGGCGACAATCCAGTCGCCTTAGGATAATCTACACCCGACGGGGATGATCGACAGAATCCTGAGATCCGTAATGTAACCCTGGCTCAACACTGAGCACGGTCGATATGGCAAACGCGCCGGCAGAATGCAGAAAGAAGAGGCCAGGGCGTCGCACTATAAGCGGATCGGCTGGACAAAAGATAAAGTGGAGGATCCTCATGTTCTGCGACCAACGCCACAAGAGACTGGTCGCCGCTCGGTCGACTCACAAGGATAAAAGAGATAGAACGGCTAGGATGACAGCACAGCACCAGCACGCCGGGAGAACCTCGTTACGGGCGAAAGAGATTGCGGCCGGACTGTCCCTGCTCTCGGTCCACGCAGACGTCCGCCTGTTTTCGATTATCCCCGCGGACTCCATGGAAACCAGACGCTACTGGGATATTGCGGTAAGTGGCGGGCGGTGCATGTTGCAGGATTGTTTGCTGATGCTGGTGTCAGAAGCCCCTGGTGGCAGAGCTGTGTGACGAGTGGAGTAAAGACGGCCGTTGTGCCAAGTGCACCCCCGAGACGCTGGTAAGTTGATGCGATTCACGTCCATCCGCATGTCAGCGGGATTATGGAGCTAGAAGATGGTTCAGTGTAGGTACCTACGTAACATGTACCAGGTTCTCCATCCTGCAAAAGCCCTGCCACCGCAGACGGCGAGTCCACCGGAATATGCACGCGCCATCGAGATAAGCTTCGGAAGCAACCTCGACAGCCCTTAGGATTGCGCAGAGCTCGTGTCACCAAGAGGGACGAAGCGCAAGAGGGCTGATGCAGACCAGGATGAGGAATACCGCCTCACCCGTCGCCGGCTAGGGGTAGTGGACGACGCCGCTCCCGCTCTAAGTCCCGTTCCGTCGCCGGAGTGGGCCTTTTTCCCGCAGTCCCCAGCCGGCGAGTGGATTGACAACATGGGTTGGAGCGTTCCTGACAATGACAACACCGCACCGACCGGTGTGAGCGACATCCACAGTCAGGAACCGTACGATAAAGATCGGCTGGCAGACAGTGAAAGGCGGCATGGAAGCCAAGGTGGCTGTGGTGAAAGCAATGGGTCTGGAGGCAGTGGCCGCGTAACTCCATCAGTGGTTGAGAGCATGGAGGATGCGTTGTTCGTCGGTCCCGCGGAAGCAACCGCTGGCGCAGATTTCGATCGGCTGCTGCACGCGACCACCGAGTATTCAGATCTTCTCGACGAGTGGCCAAGCTCACCGTCGGTCGAGTCGGTCGAGGATGGCGGACACCAGACTATCAGCGCCCGCTCGACCAGCGCCCGCTCGACTCCCACGACTCCTTTAGGTAATCCGACCAACATCGAGGACTGTATAGACCCGGGGTCGGCGTCCCAGTCATCGCCGCCGCCGGACGGACGCAGCCAGTCACCAGACGCAACAGCAGCCCAAGAACCAACCCAGACGTCGTCCGAGTTGACTCCAGCGGCGATCGAGGAGCTGGTCCGCAGTTGGCGCGTACCGGAGAACCTAGAGCAGGCCATCGCGGAGACGTTCTCCTGCCCAGCACCCCTCGAGCCGGAAGCAGCCGCGGAGACGGCGCCGCCATTCAGCCTCGACCAGGACCACGCGGAGGAACGAGACCCAGCGTACAGCCCCGCTGGGATTCATGAGATCCGCGACCTGCGGAACACGGCACTGCGACAGGTCCAAGACCGAGTGAAGCGAACCCTGTATGGTCACACATTGGCCGTGAGCGATGTCGAGCGACTGTTTGACGAGATAGCGAACATCCGTCCGATCACAGAGTTCACTATTAACCTCGTGTGCGACAAGCTCCATCGCACGCATCCTGCACCCGGCGTCTGGGTGGGCCACGTCGCATGGGAACAGCAAGCTCCGGATGGCGGCCTGCCTCGGGACTCGGTCCATGAAACCCTTCTGTTACCTACGGGCACGCCGGGCCAGTGGTCTCTGGTTGAAGTAGACGCCGTTCGGGGTAGCATCGTGCATCATCGTTTTGCAGCCGCCCGATCGGACGAGGCGTCCACGGCGACCTGTCAACCACATCTTCCCTGTGCATCCTGCCGTCTCGCAGCCGACGCGCTCACCGTATCGCTCCGCGAATCCAGCACGCGGTGCCCCGAATGGCATCTCGAATCCTCGGCCCTCCACTGCCGTGCGGGGGATGGGATCGCCTTGCTCTGGGCGTTAGAACAACGCGCCGGTGGGGGCAGCCTGGACGCAGGGCCTCCCGCCGACTTTGGCCGCCGGCTCGCCGAATCGATCGTCACCGAGATGTGTCGGCGGGGGGATCCGTTAACGCCGCCCACCGAGTCCGAGGATCGGTCGCCGCAGCTCAAGGCACGGCAGCGCTGGTTGTCCTTCCAGAGCCGCTCCGACCGCCCGACCAGCCTCGTAGGGACCTGGGAGGCGATGGCCGGGATGCCCATGGCCAACGCGCCCATCGGGTGGGATGCGGCGGATCGGCTGATGCGAATGGTGTTCAACATCGCGTCGCCGGCGGTTCTGCTGGGGATTAAACATCAGTTGCGCCACCTCCGGACCGGATTGAGCGCGGCCCCGGGGGCCTTTACCCGCAACGCAGCGGGGGCATTTGCGGCGGGGATGTGGCACGACACGAACGAGCACGCGTCGCGCGTCGGGCTCGTGCTAAGCTATTGGGCGATCCACGACCACCGCCAGCGGCGACAGCAGGAGGGATACCCCGACGCGGTGGGCCAAACCGTGGACGATATCGTGTCTCAGCTCCCACACCCCCAGCCCGACCGGGGTCTGGTGGTCGAGAAGGTCAAGGAGTGGAGCCGGCGGGCATGGCCCTGGAACCAACTGGTGCGCATCGCGGGCTCCCCTAACATCCTCTGTTTCCTCCCGCAGGGCGTGCGGCTTTTTCCCGGGGAGGATGAATGGCGGATGACGGACTACCGCCGGCTGAAGAAGGCCCAATTCGACCTTATAGAGCGGGTGTTTCGTGAGCATCGCGCACTGCTGCTGAGATCGGTGCCGGCGGATTTCTTCGAGGTGTTCCTCTACCGACGGCTCCCGGGCACTCGGTTCGCCATCGAGGGGTGGAGCGACGACGAGATCCTTCGCGAACCCCTAGATTCGGCAAAGTTTGACCATGCGTTTGAACCTGTTTCTGTGAGCTAGGTGGCGTTTGGGCGGTTGTCCGCCCTCTCTGTTTTGCGGATCCGTCTTTCTATCTGTCCTCTTGACGCTTCGTTTTGTCTTTCACTTTCCAGGAAAAAAGCATCCCGGGCATTCTCCACCGGCAGGGCATGTCCGGTAACCTCTCTATAGGTAGACATCTGGTCAGTCTGCACGGGGCGATATATGAACGGGTGGGGCACGGGGGATCGTTAGTGATAGCAATAAAAATGGTGACTTATAGTTGGTCTTCGACTAGGACCTTCACTATTGTCGTAGTGCCTGCCAAAGCAGGGGAGCTAAAGGAAATTGGATTTGTCGAGGGAATGCCGGCAACCGGGTTCGAATTGCTGGGGCTTCAGATTTGACGGAGGCTTCCCTACTAGACTACTGAGCTCGAGAACGAAACACTCGGCACTTCCGCCTGGTGTTATCCCCGAGCATTTTCAGCGGCGGATATACGTTGTTCCTGTTGTTGTCTGGAAAAGTAGTTTGTTGAACAATGCGAAAGAAGAATAACCAGCACTTTGCAACGCCAATTTCTGCCGTTCCTGTGAGTTAACAATTCCAGGGCATCTTGAAAAGCATCATTGGCACGTCATGGCTAAAAATCGGTGTTTTCAGCGCTGTTCGCCACTCTATAGTTGGACTGAGAGAACAATGGGGATCATATATATATTTACACCTAGGGGCATAGACGCCGACACCCCAGCCACGCGTAAACAACGGTAGTGGTAAAAGGGCAAAATACATATAACCACACGAATTCTATGCTCCATTCCATGGCGTCTCAGTTACACCTCCGTAGTCCAAGGCCGTACCTTGAATGATGCGTCTGATGGCGATGATGATGCTGTAACCGGCGGATCAATGTTGATCACGGAATGCCACGCCCTCTTCCGAGAGCAACTCCCGCCCAGCCCCGACCCACAAGTCGACATCGAATTGGCACTTGTAGCTAGATAATGGACTGCCTTCTTGAAGTGTTCCGGCCCCAACGTAGTAACGTGTTGGGCACAGAACGGTACTGTAGCAGAGAAGAACTCAATAGCGACGAACAGCCAGGCGCCATATTTACCGTACTGGGAGACAATTTCTATCACCGTAGTCAACTCCAGCAGATCCACTTGCTCTGATGCGCACAGCCCAATCCCGACCAGTGGCGACCATGCCGGGCCAGGGTTTAGCCTAGCTGAATTATCTAAACCAACACAGTACAACCTGCGAATGCGGAGGACGTGAAGGTCTGTCCAGCCGTAGGACATCAACGTTGGCCCTCTAGGAACTAGGCCGCCGCGGTGTTACAATGTATGGACTGCGGAGGAACGTTGTATGCTAGTTACTTGCATTGGCTACGACGACTATGTCAGAATCTGACCAATGCTCTCACTACTCAGCAACCAGGCCCCCCTTGACGCGCCAAAAACCCCTTTTCTGAGGGCGGTGTAACGGACCTTGGACATCTCTGGTCGACCTCTGGTCGACACCTCAAGAGGTGCCCAAAACGCTTGGTTATGATGATATAAGGCGGCAACGAACCTGCTGTCACGACGACCAGCATTCCTTTATATTAGGGGCCTGGGCCTCCCCGCTGTTCCGGGCTTTCCTGGCCTCTAGTAGATAGAGCGGTGTCTTTCCTAACTCGATGTCTTCGTTTAGGCTTGTTCTGACTGTTCTCCTCCTCTGGGGACCAGCCTCTGGCCTGAGGTGAGACCCTGAGCCAGCGATTCGACACTGCCGCATTGTACTGTCGAGCAGGAGTCCCTGACGCGAGACAGTTGTCCTGTGTCCACCTCGGAGGCTGTTATCCACGATGGAACCCAGCTTTCGTCCGAAGACCCTGTGTATTCGACCCCAGCAATATTAGTGAGCACCGTCACACACAGAGTCACCGTCACTGGCGTGGCCGGCACCCAAGGGGGCAGGGAAACTGGCCAAGCTGGTTCTGCATCTGCCGAGGCCCATACGGCGGCCACTACGACGGCTGGGAACAGAAGCCCGGTGACAGATCCGCAGTATAAGGCAACCGGCCACCCGTTTGTGGGCCAAGAGACCTCTCATGTTCCCCAAACCACGCCAGT